TGGAACAGAGTATTGAAACAGATTGTGAATATTAATTTAACACTACTTGGTATCTGGTCGGTGCTGAGTTAACCATCACAATAATTCTTTTTTGTCATTTATGGGAAATGCATGTCAGGTGTGTGACTTTCAGAGTGGTGAGGGGGTAGTTCACACTGAAGAGCACGTGGTTGTTGCAGCTAATAGTGCTGAGGCTTGGAGTCGCTCTAAAGTCACGCTCCAGGTTAAACAGGAAGTCCAACTTATTTATTTTCTTATAACATGGATTCCATTTATAAGTTTGGAGAATAATACTCAATATTTCTTGTTTTCACTGTTGAATTGGGTATTGTTTGGTTTATTTCCCACATCTAATCTAATTGTTTTATTATAGTTTTTTTTAGAGAGTTGGCTTTAGGGGTGTGTGGTTAGGGGCCAAAATTATATCATGACGTGTCAGGGAAATTTGTAGTAGCAATATTTGTTACTATGTCGCCCACAAGTGCTTGCATCAGTGCAGAGAGTTCATCTGGAGGAGAAAGTAGCTTCAGATGAAACGATTCGGAGTCTCGCCTAGAATTGGCTAACAGCAACGTGGCTCTACCACTGGCTTTGTTCGCTCTGCAATGCTGATGTTTTATCTTCATAAATAACACATGCCTGGAGGAGTTCTGCTGTGTGGTGGAGTTGCTAATGCTAATGGTTAGCTTCTACTAGCTGAGACATTCTTCTGTTTCCTGGATGCTCAACCAACAATAGCCATCCCCGTCATGAGTCAAGATGGGTGAGTCCATGAACATTAAAGGACAGTGTGACTAGGCTTGGGCGGTATCCAAAGTTTAATACCGTCCAACATCCTCCACATTTTACCAAGGCATACAGTATTACTGGGAGCAGTGTTGGGAACGTTACTTTAAAAAAGTAATTAGTTAAAGTTACTGATTACTTTGTCAAAAAAGTAACTCAGTTACTAACTGTTACAAGATTATAAAAGTAACTAATTACCAAGAAAAATAACTACTTAGTTACTTTTTTCATTAAAGCATGCAAGAATTACTACAATAGTGAAAAATAAATGACTAATGACTGGAACATAATAAAATGTATGTCCAAATGTTTTTATAAACCTGAATAATTTAAATAAATAAGCACTTAACAGGAGGAACTACTAACAGGAGCATTACACTTATCTAGACTATTAAAAGGTCACTGTGTGATATTTAACAAGACCCCAATCAGCTAACATTTAAAATTGGAAATAGAAACACCTGTAAAGGTTCCTGAGCCTTTAAATGGTCTCTCAGTCTAGTTAAATTACAGAAATAAATGTAATTTTGTACAGTATTTTAATTTTTCCAGCTTCACATAATTGTGTGTTTTAGCAGCATTTCTGTTGCTGCTAATCTAGTAACGGTTAAATAAATAAATAAAATCCTTTAAAATGACACTAGAAGAGGCACAAGCCTGATGGAGGACTTACATTTACTAACGTGGGTCAGACCCAACCACAGAAGAGCTGAAGCTGGGTGGTAAACACACACAGGTAGTTCTGATAACACCTGAGCTCCATGACGTCTGAGACTGATGCATCAGTGTTACAGCGGGACTAAAGACATGATCAGAAACAGGTTACAGCTGGATGATCTAGGAAGGTAGAAGATCAGGACGTCTGAGCGGTGAACAGGTGAGCGGACCTTCAGGACGTCCCGCTGTCACGCTAAGAAGGACACCGGCTGCAGACCCGATTCGCTGCTGAATCTGCGGGTCTGCAGCCGTAGATATTCATCACGTCTTCCTCGTTCTTCACGGCCGTGATGCTCTTGGATGAAAACATCTGCCTCTTTATCCTGATCAGCTGATGACAGCTTCAACACACCGCGCTGCTTAACGCACGCATTTCCTTACCAGTAACAGAAACAACGTTTTGTTAAAAGAAGACGGTAATTAATTAGTTTGCTCGTTACAGAAAGAAATTTTTTTGTTTAGTAACGAGGTTATTTTAAACGGCGTTATTCCCATCACTGCTCTGTTGGGTCTACAGCATGCGGTGACAGTGACAACACTGAGGGTCTCCGCCCACCCGGCCAATCATCATCGTGTTTGTAAGTGCGTTACCGACACCTCTCTCTCCCTGGCTGCAGCTGAAGTGTGGCGGTCAGAAAGCCTCACACAGCTGCTCAGCGTTCGACAAGCACATGTAACGCACAACCTTCCGTCCCCAGTAACGGTAACGGCGTTGCAACAGTGGGAAAAGTAATTAATTAGATTATTCCGTTACCTAAAAAAGAACGCCGTTAGTAATGCCGCTATTTAAACGGCGTTACTCCCAACACTGACTGGAAGTAATTTAAATATGACGTAAGCCTCAAGTGGAATTACCAAACTATTGGCTTAGACCTTCACTGTTCAGAAACTAAATAACAAGCCCTATTACTAAAATAATAACAAAGCACACATAATATTAACAATAATTTAAAAAAACTGCTTTTAAAACAATTTTTTGCCGGAAAAACCAGCCAACCTAGGCTTCAACATAGGACGTTGCTTTGCGTCAGTGCTGAAAACCTGCTTCGATGAGCTTGTGGCACAGACACACGGGTACTGTCGCGACATCTGGGGAAGACTGGCTGCATATTTCCACCAGAAAAATGTTTTCCTTTCTTTTAAGAACAAGCTCCAAACAGAAAGCTGCTATTTCAGCTCCAGCTTGCTCCTCTGCGGTGCCGACAGGGCCTGCGTCATTCGTTGTCGTCTTTTGTTTGCACAAATTACTTCTTCGGTGTTTACCAGCTCTCTATTATTTGCTTCAAACTCGAAAAACTCCCAAAATGCAGATGTTGTATTCTTTTTAGGCGCCAAGTCAGTTGGTACACGAGCAGCCATTTTTCTACTCGTCTCTCTGTGCTGTCACGTGATGACATCATGTTCAGAAACTTTATGGAATGTCTCCCAAGGTTGGAAAAATATTTTAAACTATTTAAAGAGCACGTCACCCCCTACCAGAGTCTTAATCCACTCCCCACTTTCTGTTTGAAAAATACAACAAAGCCTTGCAGAGCAAGAGGGCGTGGCCTCTAACAGATACACACACACACACACACAGGCTCACAACAACACTGACATCATAATGTACCAGTTAACGTCATAGGGTACCTTCTTAGCCAATAGCGATGGCTTTAATTGAAAATGCAGAGCAGAGTTTTTACCTGAAGACGGTGCAACACTGACAGTTTTAGGCAGAAGTTTAAAATTTTTACTAAGATTCACTAAAGTGCCAAATTATTGACTACACTTGTCTACAGCACGATTATAATAATAATAATAATGCATAGAACTTATATAGTGCTTTTCTAGACACCCAAAGACGCTTTCACACACTCTCACATTCACACACTGCTAGTGATGGTAAGCTACTTGTAGCCACAGCCGCCCTGGGGAGGTCTGACAGAGGCGAGGCTGCCATTTGGCACCGTCGGCCCCTCTGACCACCACTAACACAGGCAAGTTGGGTGAAGTGTCTTGCCCAAGGACACAACAGCAGGATACCCCTGGAGGGAGCTGGAATCGAACCCATGACCCTCCGATCATGAGGCAACCCGCTCTACCACCTGAGCTACTGCTGCCCCACATTTATATAATTTATCAGCAAAATAAAGTTGATTTGGGGGTGACTTGCTCTGTAAAACTGAAAATTCTACATTCATACATTTTATATATTAAATTATTTTTAGTTATCTTTTAAATGTATTTGGTTTTTTTATTATTATTATTATTATTTTAATCCTTGTCTGTTTGCGGTATTACCGTAATGCAGCCAGAGCCTATGTGTGACATCTTGCAGGATTTTCAAATCTGAAAGTTTTTCTATCTATTTTCTATCAGAAGCTAATGCAGGAGATAGGTGTAGGTGACTATTTTCATGTTCAGAGTGACCGATTATGATCAGAAAAACTATATATATATATATATATATATATATATATATATATATATTCTGTGTTCCACACCATTAAAGTGACAATGTGTAGTTTTTTTTATAGTTAATCTCTGGAAATATCCATCAAAATGTTGTTGAAATTAATTAAATGATGACCAGTTGTTGAAAAATATTGGTGGCGCTGTGACATTTAACCATTAAAATCTGGTCTAAAACACATGGGAGCGGGTCTAAGTCTCTGGACGACGCCATATTAGATAGAATGGTAAATGGTCTGTATTTGATATAGCGCCTTCTAGAGTCCTGGAACCCCCCAAGGCGCTTTACAACACAATCAGTCATTCACCCATTCACACACACATTCACACACTGGTGGGGATGAGCTACGATGTAGCCACAGCTGCCCTGGGGCGCACTGACAGAGGCGAGGCTGCCGAACACTGGCGCCACCGGTCCCTCCGACCACCACCAGCAGGCAACGTGGGTTAAGGGTCTTGCCCAAGGACACAACGACAGCAACAGACTGAGTGGTGCTCGAACCTGCAATCTTCCGATTACGGGGGCGAGAACTTAACTCTTGTGCCACCGTCGCCCCGAAACCATGTTTCCTTCTGCGGGAGCCCTTGAGGACAAAACACATTTACTGATCTGTAACAAATGGTTACAAAATGTTCACCATTAATAAACATTGTTGTTACACATTTACCTCTTCACTCATAACCAGTGATGAAATGTGCTTTTTCATTTTGCTGACGTTTGCACTCCCCAGGCTTTTTTGACCGTTGCTTGCTTGCAACGATTTAGGTATCTACTGCCCCCATCACCAGGAAAAATGCACACTGTCACTTTAAACACCACCGCAAGATGTTTGCGAGTTTACCCTTTGGAGTGAATGGAAGTGTGTGTGATTCTGAAGGAATAATTAAATAAGAGCTTGCTTGCACACTGGAATCAGACCTAATACTTTAATAGTATATTTTTTATCAATCACATAGATTTTGGGGGTCGTCTGGAGTTGAAATCAAAGATTGAAAAGTCACTGTGCTCTTTGTAACCCTGTGGTGATTTCTGTCTTTTGCTGCAGCTCAGACATGAGTGGGGCCAGTAACACGCTGGCACGGGAGTTCCTCACTGATGTGCACCAACTATGCAGCGCGGTGGCCCAGAGAGCCGAGGCCCGGGAAGAAGATGAGGAGGAGAGTCACATGGTGGCGCTGGGCGAGTACCTGGTCAGGGGGCGGGGCTTCTTACTGCTCAGCACTCTGGATGCCATCATTGACCAGGTAAGGAGAGCGAAGTGAATAAAAGTTATCCCACGATGGCAACTCACTTTACAAAATCTAAAACAGTAATACTTTTATGACTAATTTAATTTTATGACTAATTTGCTAATAGTTAATTCTGGTGCTTTCAGTGGAACAGTTCCTTTCTTCTTGCACTTTGAGAATCTATAATGGAGTCTGAAGTATAATCAACTCTTGGAGTTATGGTCCTCCTTGTGCCGGATATGCTGCCGCAGCATAATCAGACATAAAATATTAACCTAATGTTTTTGTAATCATTCGGTACACAGGCATGAATGTATTAGCAGGCTGAACACTAATGAAATCCAAAGTTGTCTAGCAGTGTAATGTATTTACCACGTTCTTAGAGTAGAAAATAGACATTTAATTCTGATTTTCATGACTATTTGTGTTTTCTAAAAATACTCTCTTCAGTATAAACATTGTTCTAAAATATTTATGTATGATAATTGTAAACCCGTGCTCCTGCATCACCTCGTGTTGTTCATGTCTTTCTGCTAGTTTCACACTCAGGCTTTATATTTCTCTTTTAATCGAAGCATTTAGCACACAATTCTAAAGCATTCATGTGCAAATTGTTATCCCAAGCTCAGGCTGTGTACCTACCAGCTGTGTCCTGCATGGAGTCAACCCCTATAGTGGCAATCAATATAACTTTATTTAAAGAGCAAGTCACCCCCAAATCAACATTTTTTTGATAAACTATATACAGTGGGGCAAAAAAGTATTTAGTCAGCCACCGATTGTGCAAGTTCTCCCACTTAAAATGATGACAGAGGTCAGTAATTTTCATCATAGGTACACTTCAACTGTGAGAGACAGAATGTGAAAAAAAATCCATGAATTCACATGGCAGGATTTTTAAAGAATTTATTTGTAAATCAGGGTGGAAAATAAGTATTTGGTCAATAACAAAAATTCAACTCAATACTTTGTAACATAACCTTTGTTGGCAATAACAGAGGTCAAACGATTACTATAGGTCTTTACCAGGCTTGCACACACAGTAGCTGGTATTTTGGCCCATTCCTCCATGCAGATCTTCTCGAGAGCGGTGATGTTTTGGGGCTGTCGCCGAGCAACACAGGCTTTCAACTCCCTCCACAGATTTTCTATGGGGTTGAGGTTTGGAGACTGGCTAGGCCACTCTAGGACTTTCAAATGCTTCTTACGGAGCCACTCCTTTGTTGCCCGGGCGGTGTGTTTGGGATCATTGTCGTGTTGGAAGACCCAGCTACGTTTCATCTTCAAAGTTCTCACTGATGGAAGGAGGTTTTGGCTCAGAATCTCACGATACATGGCCCCATTCATTCTGTCCTCAACACGGATCAGTCGTCCTGTCCCCTTAGCAGAAAAACAGCCCCAAAGCATGATGTTCCCACCCCCATGCTTCACAGTAGGTATGGTGTTCTTGGGATGCAACTCAGTATTCTTCTTCCTCCAAACACGACGAGTTGAGTTTATACCAAAAAGTTCTACTTTGGTTTCATCTGACCACATGACATTCTCCCAATCCTCTGCTGTATCATCCATGTGCTCTCTGGCAAACTTCAGACGGGCCTGGACATGCACTGGCTTCAGCAGCGGAACACGTTTGGCACTGCATGATTTGATTCCCTGCCGTTGTAGTGTGTTACTGATGGTGACCTTTGTTACCGTGGTCCCAGCTCTCTGCAGGTCATTCACCAGGTCCCCCCGTGTGGTTCTGGGATTCTTGCTTACCGTTCTCATGATCATTTTGACCCCACGGGATGAGATCTTGCGTGGAGCCCCAGGTCGAGGGAGATTATCAGTGGTCTTGTATGTCTTCCATTTCCTGATAATTGCTCCCACAGTTGATTTTTCCACACCAAGCTGCTTGCCTATTGTAGATTCACTCTTCCCAGTCTGGTGCAGGTCTACAATTCTTTTCCTGGTGTCCTTCGAAAGCTCTTTGGTCTTGGCCATAGTGGAGTTTGGAGTCTGACTGTTTGAGGCTGTGGACAGGTGTCTTTTATACAGATAATGAGTTCAAACAGGTGCCATTAATACAGGTAACGAGTGGAGGACAGAAAAGCTTCTTAAAGAAGACGTTACAGGTCTGTGAGAGCCAGAGATTTTCCTTGTTTGAAGTGACCAAATACTTATTTTCCACCCTGATTTACAAATAAATTCTTTAAAAATCCTGCCATGTGAATTCATGGATTTTTTTTCACATTCTGTCTCTCACAGTTGAAGTGTACCTATGATGTAAATTACTGACCTCTGTCATCATTTTAAGTGGGAGAACTTGCACAATCGGTGGCTGACTAAATACTTTTTTGCCCCACTGTAAATGCGTGTCTAATTGTGCTGCAGACACGTGAAGTCAATAGTTTTGCACTTTAGTGCATTTTAGTTCAAATTAAACATTTCTGCCTAAAACTGTCAGCGTTGTGCCGTTGTCGGGTAAAAACTCTGCACTGCAGTTGAATTTAAATCTGCCATCGCTATTGGCTAAGAGGTACCCTAGAATGTTAGCTGGTACCATATGATGTCACAATGTCGTTGTGAGCCTGTGTGTGTGTGTGTGTGTGTGTGTGTGTGTGTGTGTGTGTGTGTGTGTGTGTGTGTGTGTGTGTGTGTGTGTGTGTGTGTGTGTGTGTGTGTGTGTGTGTATTTGTTAGCTGCTCCGCCCTCTCGCTCTGCTAGGCAACAGCATTTGTTGCATTTATCAAACAGGAAGTGGGAGCGGAGTAATACTCTGGTAGGGGGTGACTTGCTCTTTAAGCAAAAACGCTTAAATCCTGGTTTTAAATCAAGGATCTGGTGTTAGCATTTGACAGAACGTGTATCGGTTTGATACTTTGACTCGTGAAATTTCAGCATGCCATCTTCGCTTCAGGCTCATCTAACGGTTGAGACACATCCAAGTGCTTATATTAGTTGTATGCATAGCAGTTGTTATCCTCATGTTTTGTGTGCGTTTCAGAACGATTAAGGTGGATGTTTTTTAATTAACACATGACAGAGGAATGCTCCGATGCTGTTTGGCCTGTCGTTTAGCTGCTACATTGCTCCTCGTCACGCCTGTGCTGAAAGAGCTGACTGAATGTGCTTCTAGGCAAATAATAGTTTAAGTCTGGAAAAGGCTAGGAACTAAAACAAGAGCTTCAGTAACCGTTTGTGTGGAAATGAAAACTCAAGCGGATGTTTGAACTAAGGGCAGAGAAGGACTGGTGGGAGTGTCTTGGCGTTAGCGTGACCAAAGTGACAAACGAAGGGAGGCTTTCTTGGCAACTCGCTGCGTTCTGCTCTGCGTTCAGGAGCTGACGTGTCGGGAAGAGCTGCTCACGTTGCTGCTGTCGCTGCTCCCACTCGTCTGGAAGATTCCTGTGCAAGAAGACAAAGCTCCAGGTGAGCCTCCGTACATATTTCTCTATCATTTGCTCTTTTTAATGTTGATATTAAACAGACTTAAGTATTTCTGTTATGAAAGAAAAGTTTTTATTTACTTCCTTTAATAAACATGGTGACTTGGCTTTCCACTACTGTATCTGTAATGTGCTGCAGTAATACGGTTTGTTCTACTTTGATGTTTCACGTTCATATCATTCTTTACAAGTTGTATGTGAAGTATTTGTGAAAACGCTGGATTGTTTGCACACTGGGTTTAACTGAAAGGCAACAAGGCATGCTCATCAAATAGCATTAATTACATTTAATGGCCTAAGTGCTGCATCCTAGCACATTGAATTTCCTCTGTATGAAATGTGCTATATAAATAAAGCTGCTTTGCCTTGCTTATGCCCACTTTTTGTAAATGTGTACGTTTTAACCACTTAGGAGAGTTTTGAATGTCACATGCAGCAGCAGACGCTTGTGACCTCAGAATGACGCCGGCATTTAGAACAGAACCGCTGATCTTCTGTAACATGGACCCTAGACATTTTTCCTTTAATTAATGTTTGCTTGCTGAAATGTCTACCAACACACTGTCCCTCTTTACATGCAGCTTAGCATCACTATGCACTGGAAATGCCCACGCTCATTTTAAATATTATTTTGCTGTAAAATGTCTAGTTTACGTAAGTCAGATGGATCTTCCTGTGTGTTGACAGATTTCACCCTGCCATCCTTACTGGAGGTGTTCTTCAGTCGGGAGGTGAAGGCTGTCTCTGTCAGGACTGGACAGAAGGCTTTGACGGATGAGCAGAGCTCCGGGAGAAGGGCCCGTGTTGGAAGCGGCACATGGAAGTCACGGCGGTCCCGCAGAACGGCGCACAGATACTCTGTGAAAGATGCTCGGAGGTCTCAGGTCTCTACCTCAGATTCAGAAGCCAACTCTGAAGACAAAGCTGTCACAGGCTCGGGTGGCGCAAGGAGCCGGAGATCTCATGGCTCCACCATCCATGTAAGCTGTCAGCATCATCGCTCAGAGGCCTCGCACTTAACCTCCACCGCCACCAATACCACACAAACCATGAGTGCTCCATACCCTCACCCCAGAGCCCCTGGGTCCCAGATGGTTGACTTTGAAACCCTGACGGACCCAGCTGCAATATCCATTTTCAACCGCATGGAGAACTCGCCTTTCGATCTTTGCCATGTGTTGCTTTCCCTGCTGGAGAAGGTGTGTAAGTTTGACATGAACATTAATCACAACCCTGGCCTGGCAGTCAGTGTGGTGCCTACTCTCACAGAAATCCTGACTGAGTTTGGAGATTGCTGCGGTCCTGGAGGTGGAACAGGGGCGGAGGAGCTTGCTGGAGGCTGGACGGAGGAGCCAATTGCACTTATTCAGAGGATGCTACTACGCACAATTTTGCACCTGATGTCTGTGGACGTGAGTCAGAACGACAGACTCCCAGACAGCCTGAGACGCAGTCTGACAGACTTGCTGCGAGCAACTCTGAAAATCCGGAGCTGCTTGGAGAGGCAGAATAACCCTTTTGCACCGCGGCCCAAAAAGACTTTGCAAGAGGTCCAAGATGACTTTACTTTCTCTCGTTACCGCCACAGAGCGCTGCTGCTCCCGGAGCTTTTAGAGGGAGTTTTGCAAGTTCTACTTAGTTGTCTTCAGGCTTCTACACCAAACCCCTTTTTCTTTAGCCAGGCCCTGGAGCTGATCCATGAGTTTATTCAGCACCATGGTCTTGAGCTCTTAGAGACCACAGTTTTGCGTTTGGAGGGACTCAGCCGGGCCAGGGATTCTGAAGTAGGGAGAGAGGCTTCTGAGAGGCTCAGAGGTCTCATCGCAGGAGTCTTCAAAATAATCAGCGCTGTTAAGAAGGCAAAGTCCGAACAGCTGCATCAGTCAGTGTGTGCCCGTCGACGCCACCGTCGTTGTGAGTATTCCCACTTTTTGCATCACCACAGAGATCTGTCAGGTTTGCCCGTGTCTGCTTTCAAGCAGGCTGCTAGACGCAATCCCTTCGAGGAGGATGGGGAAGGCTTAGAAGGAACTGAGGGAGATGGCATGCGTTGCCCCGAGCGCTGTTGCTGCCTTGCTGCCTGTGCCCATGAGTGTTTACGACTATTGCAGCGCCTGACGCCCAGTGGACCAGCTGTGCTGCAGGTGTTGGCTGGGATTCAGGCTGTAGGAATCTGCTGTTGTATGGACCCTCGCTCAGTTGTAGGACCCATGTTACATGCTTTCCAGGCTCCAGGTCTGCGCAGCTATCAGGGTCATGTACTCAGTGTGCTAGGTAGGCTAATTCTAGACCAACTGGGTGGGGGTCAGCCTTCAGAGAAAGCCAAGCTGGCCTCCTGCAACATCTGCACCTTGGACAGTAGCCAACTGCCAGGCCTGGAGGAGACTCTGCAACAAGGAGAGTCCTCAGCTATTTCTACCAGTTTACGTTTTCGCTCCCAGGGAATCCTTCCCAGTGGAGGAGGTGCTGAGGACATGCTCTGGAAGTGGGATGCTCTGGAGGCCTATCAAGAACTAGTGTTTGGAGAGGACTGGCAGCTGAGCCAGCACATAGCTGGCCATGTGTGCCACCTGACTCAGCGAGGTAACGCTATTGTACAGTGGCAGCTGTACACTCACATCTTCAACCCTGTGCTGCAGAGAGGGGTCGAGCTGGCTCACCATGCCCAACAGCTAGGGGTTTCTACAGTCTGCACTCAGGTCTGCAGCTACCACACACAGTGCCTGCCCGTGGAGGTTCTTCTCATCTACCTGCAAACATTACCAGCACTTCTGAAATCAAGGTGAGCTGATTTATTTTCCTCCATCTAAATTGACCTTACATTAGTTATTCTTTTTTAATGTTGGTTCTAATTTTGGGGTGGACTTTCACAACTCCCAAAAGACGGTACACAAGTGATAACACTCTTGCCTGTGATTGAGTGCATGTGCTTTTCTTTGTATCTAATCAGTATTAGCCAAGACATTAGTAGCTACAATTCAGTACATTTTACAAAACCTGGTATCAAAGTTACTTTTGGACCTTTTCCAAAGCCCTGCTCGGCGTGACTGGAATTGGTTCAGCCTGTCTGGACAGCCTTTTCCAACAGCACAGTCACTGGTTGTTCCAGAGTTTTCCGCCTGCTGCCTCGCTGTTCTGCAGCCCGCAGGCATTTGTGGGTTCAGAGTTTGACAAAAACCCGTGACTGAGCATAATGTTCAGCGTCTCCACCATTGTTGTGCTGTGTTGTGTTTTTGTGTGACTAACCCCTCCTTTCCTCTGGACGTGAAAGCGGCATGTAACACAATAGCGGCGTTTTACCCGTGAGGTACCATCCAACCGGCAGCGTTTTAGACGTGAAATGGGTGCAAAAGTATTACACGCCACTGATCCCGCAAAGTCACGAGAGAATTGCAACAACATGCGTGATTTCAGAAGGCCTCATAATAACAAGCGAGGAGGAAGACAGCTGCATGTATCCAAAAAGGTCTGTGGTTTATTTTCTGTTCTGTTTACATCGACCACATGAGGTTTCACAGGAAATGACGAATGTTTATCTGCACGTGACCTTTATTTTGAACGTTTCTGGACATTTTCTACTGCTTACATGTTTGACTTCCTGTCTGGCTTGATCTAAACTGCAGAGTTCGATGTGTTTTGAAAGCGTAGCTCATAAAAATAGACTCAAAGCGTAATGATGGTGTCCCTTCACTTCTGGCAAGCATCCAAAACGTTACACCAGTGGAAAGGAACCTGTCCACTATAACGGCAGCTAAGTGTTGCAAAGTATGTTTTTTTGGTCGTTTGGCAACGCTTTCATGTCCGGTCAAAAGGAGGGGTGACAGATCACCTCTCACTCACAGGAGCCACTCAAACCTTCAGCCTTATGACAATTGCACTTACTAGAGCCGTACCTCAGTTTGACTTGGAAAAACAACCCACACCGTATGAAGCGGAGTCACTCTATGTCGACTGAACCGTTTCGAGCTGAGTAGGGCTGTTGGAACAGGGGGTTAAAGTGAATCGCAGCACATCCTCAGAGTCCTGACAGATTGTATTATGTTCCAGTACAACAGTTATACCTCCATCATCTCTTAAGACGATCTCATTTTAAAACTCGACATGAAAGAAGAAGAAAATATAATTTCTATAGCGCCTCTCAAGATAAAAATCACGAGGCGCTTCACAAAAACAAAAAATGTAAAAATATAAAAAAGAATTTAGAAAATGGTTAAAAATATATTTAAAATGAGCAAAAATAGACGATTGTGATTAAAAAAATGTAAAGAAAGAGAGAGAGTGAACAGGAAAGAGGGAAACCAGTGGATCCTGAGGAAGGTGGAATAGGTGGGGAGAGCAGAATAAAGAGAGAGAGGTGAAGAAGGTCATACAAAAGCCAGCCTGAACAGGTGAGTCTTCAGCTGCTTTTTAAAGGAGACCACTGAGTCCACTGATCTCAGGCTCAGGGGGAGAGAGGTCCAGAGTCTGGGGGCCACAGCAGCAGATGATCTGTCACCTTTGACCTTTAGCCTGGTGCTGCACAACCAGTAGGCTTTGATCACTGGACCTCAGGGACCTGCTGGGGGTGTAGGGACTAAGAAGATCACCAATGTAAGATGGTGCTTGTCCATGTAAGGCCCTATAGACCAGAACCAGGATCTTGAAATGAACCCTGAAGTTGACTGGCAGCCAGTGAAGCTGGAGGAGAAGCGGGGTGATGTGGGTGTGTTTGGAGGACTTGGTCAGAAGCCGAGCACAGGCGTTCTGAACCACCTGTAGACGGTTCAGGGAGGTTCTGCTCAGACACGTGAAAAGAGAGTTACAGTAGTCTAAGCGTGAGGAGATGAAGGTGTGGAGAACTGTCTCAAGTTCAGAGCGGGACAGAATGGGACTCAGCTTAGCAATGTTCCTGAGATGGAAGAAGGAAGAGCGAACAAGAGAACTGACATGAGAATCCAGGGTGAGAGCTGGGTCAAAGGTCACACCAAGATTCCTGACAGAAGGTTTGGTGCGAGAAGCAAGCTGACCAAGAGAGTCTCTGACTTTGGGAACCAGCTTGTCTGGGGCACAGATGAGGATCTCAGTCTTATCTTCATTCAGCTGAAGAAAGCTCCCACCATCCAGGTTTTGATAGAGTCTAAGCAGGTGTGTAACAGCTGCAGCTTAGACATCTCATGGGGCTTAAAGGAGATGTACAGTTGGATGTCATCTGCATAAAGATGGTAGGAGATTCCTTTGAAGGAGCTCAGGATGTGCTGAAGAGGAAGCAGATAGAGGAGGAAGAGCAGAGGCCCCAGCACAGAACCTTGTGGGACACCATGGGTAAGGGAGGTGGTGGAGGACCTAAACTTGGAGACGGCCACAGAAAAGGAGCGCTCAGAAAGAGAAGAGGAGAACCACTCCAGAGCAGTTCCTGATAGGCCTACCCAGTAACTCAGCCTCTCCAGTAGCAGGTGATGGTCAACAGTGTCAAAGGCTGCAGTCAGGTCCAGCAGGACCAGAACAGAACAGTCCCCTGCATCACTGTGAGTCAGAAGGTCATTAGAGACCCTAAGAAGAGCTGTTTCAGTAGAATGAGCTCTACGAAAACCTGACTGGAAGCTATCATAGATGTTATGTTCATCAAGAGCAGCTGTGAGTTGTTTAGCCTCAACCTTTTCCAAGATCTTGGAGATGAACAGGAGTTTAGAGATGGGTCTGAAGCTGCTATGGAGAGAGGGGTCGAGACTCGGTTTTTTAAGAAGCGGGTGGATTACAGCATTCTTAAAGTAAGCAGGGACCTGACCAGAGAAGCATTAATTATAGAGAGCACTCTGGGACCGATGGACTGAAAAGCACTTTTAAACAAAGATGAGGGTAAGATGTGGAGGGGGCATGCAGAGGTCTTCATAGAGTTAACTAGTTTGGTTAACTCAGGCAAAGAAACAGGAGCAAAGCTATCTAGGATGATGGGCCTGGTTGGAGTCGGGAGAGGCAGCGATAAGGCTGAAGGAGAGATGCTAGATCTAACCTTATTGACTTTGTCCACAAAGAAAGACAGAAAGTTCTCACAGTCTGCAACAGAGTGGATGGAGGCTGTAGGAGAGGCAGGAGAGACGATGCTGCTGATGGTGTTAAACAGCACCTTGGGGCTCCCTTTGCTCTGGGACACCAGGTTGGAGAAATAGGAAACCCTAGCGTCTCTGACTGCAGAGTTAAAGGATGTCAGAAGATCCTTTAGGTGCAGCAGATGGACGTGGAGATGGTTTTCTTCCACAAGTGCTCAATTTATCTGCATTGGCACTTCAGGCTGCAAAGGCTGTCATTAAACCAGGGAGTAGGGTTCACTGCAGGAACTGATCTGGTTCTGACAGGACAGATGTTGTCCAGAATGGAGAGGCAGTGCTCGTTGAACTGAGAAGTTAAGGAATCTGGGTCGTTATCAGAAGAACAGGGTGGATCAAAAACAGCAGAAAAGTTGCTAGCTGTGCTCTCATTAAGAAAACGAGAACTAACCATACGGCGAGCAGGAGGTGGGGACGCAGAAACTGACAAGTTAAAGAAAATGCAATGGTGATCTGAAATATAAACGTCCTCAGGACAAACACTGTCAGCATTTAGACTCAGGGTAAAAAAAAGGTCTAGAGTGTGCCCCCTGGTGTGTGTGGGGCCAGAAACATGCTGGGTAAAGCCGAAGGAGTCCATAAGGCTGGAGAAATTCATGGCAAAGTGATCAGAGGGATCATCAACGTGGATGTTAAAGTCACCAACAATCACCAGTCTGGACAGCTTCACAGTGGAGGATAGAAAGTCACTAAACTCCTGAAGGAAAGAACTGTTTGGACCAGGTGGACGATAGACCACAGCACAGTAGAACGGGTCCTTACGCCCGACTTTAATCAGCTGCAGTTCAAAGGAAGCAAAGTGACCAGAGGTTGTAGAGCTACATGGAAGATGGTCTCTGAAAACAACAGCTAGGCCTCCACCACGACCAGAACCCCGGGGCTGGCTAAGAAAAGAATAACCACTCAGGCAAAGTTCAATCAGACCAGAATAATCAGATGTTTGCTGCCAAACTTCAGTCAGAAACAGAAAATCCAGGCTTTTAGAGAGAATTAGATCATTGAGCAGGAAGGTCTTATTGTTAACAGAGCGGGTGTTTAATAGAGCCATGCTGAGTGAGGGTGAGGAATCAGAAACTAGAGAAACAGCTGGAGTTAGTGGACGTAAATTAGCAGGGTTAGATCCACGGTGTTTATAAAAACCACTTATGGGGGAACAGGAGGGGAAACCACTGAAGAGTGAGGATAAACCAACCTTAAAAAACTTGGATGGAGAAACCACGCTGCAACGCGGCCTGGCGGGAATGTGGAAATGGCGCTCAAGTCGCCAAACAAAGGACAAGAAGCTAGAAGATCACGCCGATGTTTATTAGATAAACCACGCTTTAAGAGAAGTCTTATTCTCACCTGGATTACTGCTCGTTTACCTCTTTTCCTCTGACGTTTTCCCGGGACCGGATAAACATCGCCGGAGGCTCCCTGGTTAGAATCGTCATTTGACTCCGGGCCAGTGCGCCACTCAGATAAACAAACAGGGAGGTACGTCCTTGGTGCATCTTGGCCGATCGTGAACCAACGGAAGGACAAAAGAGTCTGGTGGTCATAGGAGATGGTAGCAGGGACACTACTGAAGAGGATCTCCGACAGGAGCAAGGTGGAAAAGAGGAGGTTAGTGGAGAAAAGTTTGAAAAAGTGGCCGGTGACTGCGGCTAAGCCAAGCACAGTCGCCATCTTGTTATCGACCGGAAGCGGAAGGAGGCAGGCCTTGTAAAGAAATTGCGTTTTTAATGGCTGTTTCCATTTTCACAACATTTTAGTAAGATATTCAGAAAAAGTCACTGATGTTTTACACTCATCTCATGTTCTAATCAATTATCCCTGTCGTAAAATTTTCCCTCATGAAATAGATTTAGCTGATTTACTCGATCACATGAGACATCATACATAGTCAGCTGTCTCAGACTGGGATACCTCATCTACAAGAACACTGGTTGACATTAGAGCTGAACCTCCAGGCCCTGGGTAACTGATGCTAATCAATAATGTATCATAGCTTTGTGATCTCAGAGCAAGATGGAGGAATGTTGACTATGTTGCGCCAGTAGAATTACTGTAGTCTGTTTAAATCAGCTTTAGGCATGGAAACCTAAGGGTGATACAACGAGAAAGAATAGTAAGTTAGTCTACATGATCTCACTGTAACATGCACCCATTTTCATCTATGGCTTTGGTAAAAAGAAAAGATTCAACTTTAAAACAGAGATGATCACTAAAATCTTTGTTTTACGATGTTCTACTTTTAATTAAGTTGTGCAGATCATTTGAAACACCTTGCATTTGGTGTACACATCTTTATTAAAACCTCATTTCACAACAGGCTAGGCAAACAACTCACTGTTAGCTTACTATACTTACAATATCCGTACAGGTGTTAAATTAAACTCAAGCTCCACATATGAAATTTTCCTGGAACACACACAGATAGGGCTTTACTCAAGAGTCAAGATAAAGAACCGTGATAGTTACTGGGGTATTTTTCCTCCTTCTTGGTTACCCCTTCATTGATGTGGTCAGTCTCATGAGGTTGTATCAGACAGCTCCATCTGCTGGGCCAATCAGATCAATCATTATAATTTCACATGTTATGTGAGGATTCACTTCTGTCTCTGTTGTGTGAGTGTGTGTGTGTGTAAAAGCAGGGAATGCATTTAAAAGGGTCAAATGTTACTGATTCTGAGTAGACACGGTGGGTTGACCTTCGTAAAAATGTGACATTGCTAAAATAAAAGCACACAACCAGCAGAGAACAGATTTGTTGCCAAGTAAATAATGTTGGAGATATTTAAATGTGGTGAATCAGATGATTCTTCTGTATTGGTTTCACTATTTTTTAGAGATGTTTTATGGTTTGTGTTGCAGGGTGATCAGAGACCTTTTTACCAGTTGCAATGGGCTTAACCAGGTGACAGAACTTGTGTACCTGGACCAGACTCGCTCTTTGGCGTTGAAGGTGTTTGAAACTCTGATAATAGGCATCAGACATCAGCACACTGACGGCCTTCTTCAGGAATTGGAGGGTACTGATACCAAAGAAAGGGAGGCTGTCGTGGGTCCAGCTGAAGAGTTGGGGTCCAGAGGGGTTGGAGAGGCTCCGCAGAGCCTCAGCAAGTTCTACGAAGGTCTGAAGGAGGCATATCCACATTATAGAAGCCATAATGGGCAGAGTCGCGGACCGGGGAGCAGCCGAACTGAGATCCACCGACATGTTATCAATCTCTTCCTTTGTGTGGCTTTCCTCTGCGTCAGCAAAGAGGCTGATTCGGACCGGGACTCGGCCAACGACTCTGAAGACACTTCCGGCTATGACAGCACAGCGAGTGAACCTCTGGGTGGCCGTCTGCCTCTTTTGTCCCCGGACAGCGTGGCTTTGCCCTCCAAAGAGCAGCTGCGCCGTGCTGCAGATATTTGGTCAGTATGCCGGTTGATCTACATGTCCAGCCCCCTGTTCCAGAGGCAGTTCTTCAGGCTCGGAGGACTGGACGTGTGCTTGCGCCTCGTGGCAATGGTCATCCAAAAGCTCTCTTGTAAAACAAAGGATGGAAAAACAAAGAAGAAGAGAGACAGTAAAGGGAAAAGCAGCCCTGAATACACAGTCCCGGCTGCTACTACGGGACTGGAGGAAGCTTCTCGAGATCCATCTCATGTTCCTACTGAGGGAAAAACCAAAGATCCTGCCAAGAGGCTGGAGGAAGAGTGGCAACTACAAAGCATCCGTCTCCTTGAGGCCTTGCTGGCTATTTGTCTACACAGTGCTAACTCAGCCATGCAGAGAATAGAACCTGAACTTACCTATCAGGTGGGTTAACGTACACTTAAACCAAACACAGCAGTCGCAACGAATGCTTAATGTCTTTAGTTAATCAGTTACGTCTCTTTTTCTTTTTAAAGCTTCAGTCTGTTGAGGACACTCTGTTAGAGGTAAGAGACCAGCTGTCTCGCTCAGGGGTGGTGAACTCTGACCTCGCCATACCTCTATTCGACTCTCTACTGCGAGTGGCCTTGGCCGAGGTGTCTTCATGCACCGATGTTCCCGAGGAGAAGACGGACAAGGTGAGTTCTTCATCGGGAGATTCAGTGAGTCCAGCTGATTCATTTAAAGGAATTTTCATGTGTTCATAACAGCACAAATTTCCTCAAGTAATCCTAATCCGTTCTACTAGTACTAGGTATTAGGTAATATTAGGTATGTAATGGTGCAAATAGTCAGATTTTTTTCAGTAAGGCACAGACACATTCCCACACGAACGTGTAACTGTGTTGCACACATTAGCCATTAGCCAGCAGCACAAGCGTCCATTCTCTTTCACTTATCTGGAGTCGCGTTGCGGGGGCAACAGCCTGAGTGGAGAAGCCTAGAGTTCCCTCTCCCCAGCCACTTGGGCCAGCTCTTCCGGAAAATCCAAAGGCACTTCTGGCCAAGCGAGAGACATAGTCCCTCCAATGTTTCCTGGGTCTCCCTTTAGGTCTCCTCTCGGTAGGACGTGCCCAGAAAACCTCACCAGGGAGGCGTCCAGGAGGCATCCTAATCAGATGCCTAAGCCATCTCAACTGGCTCCTCTCGATGTGGAGGAGCAGCGGGTCTACGCCGAGCCCCTCCCGGATGACCAGGCTTCGCACCGTATCTATAAGGGAGAGCCCAGACACCCTGCAGAGAAAACAAATTTCAGCTGCTTGTATCCGCGATCTCGTGCTTTCGGTCACTACCCAAAGCTCGTGACCATATGTGAGGGTAGGAATGTAGATCGACCGGTAAATCGAGAACTCCGCCTTCTGGCTCAGCTCTCTCTTCACCACGACAGATCTGTATAACGCTCGCATCACTGCAGTCGCAGCACCAACCTCCCTGTCGATCAACACAAGCAGCTGTGTCTGCATTCAGGGGCTGCATCCTCCGAAAGACCCAACCTTCCCAGTTGATGTAGGCTGGTTTTGGTACCAGACACCAGATCTTTTGTTGGTCGTTGGACAGTCTTACTCGACGAATGTCCTATCTCCTAGCAACTGTGCCAAAGCTAAACTGAAGTTAAAACTATACTTGGGGACGTACGAGCTACCACTAGCGAGAGGATGTTTTTAGCAGCTGAAGACGGTCTAACTACCAACAGATTTGTCCTTTCAGCAGACGATATGGTTACATGAACATTTCTATCAAAAACATGAAGGTTTTACATGTTTTAGTTTTTCCTCTTATCTGCTTCTTTCTATTTTATTTTTAAATGAGCTCCCACCAATTTTATCGCATCTTTAAATCGGTTAATCACACGCTGGGGTGTCACACTTGTGAGAAATGGGGAGCTGACTAATATCACACAATCATTTTGGTCTCGGTTACCATTAAAACGAAGCTAAATGTGAATACTTGAAGTCTTTTCACTCTCTGACCCACTCTGTAAAATATAAGACGCAATCGTGATTGGTCGACAACAGGAGCATAAATAAAAGCAAAACAAGTTTTCATTAAAGTACCACTACCCTGACGCTGTGTTCCCACGCAGCTGTTATCAGCCTGTCGTACAATGAAACGGCAGACGTAAACAACAATGGCTCTTGTGTAGCAGTGGATGCAGCGCTGCCCAACCTCATAGGTAAACTCCGCAGCAGCTACACGACCAGGCAGGAACATTAATTTGCCTCCATGAGGTTACAGACGTGCCAAAGCTGAAATGGTTTTTTTGAGCTGTCAGAGGAACGTAAACCGTCACAACTACTAGGCCCTTCTTCCAGGAAATGAGATGAGCACAAAAAGCTTTTAGAAGATGGCATCATGCTGTTCTTGCTGTAAGGCTCCAGGTACCTGGTGCCCTCTTGCCTCGCATCCTTTCACATACCTGTTTTAATTCAGCACAGAAGGTTTCATTGTAAGAAATAAATTCATTTCCTGTGAGCTTTCCCTCTAAGCCCAGCAGAGTGTGGTGTTCGCCACAGCGGCCCAAAGCTTTGGCAACGGGTTGTTTACTCTGTTATCACATTAAACAAACTATAAACGTTAAGATAGTCACAAGTCTCTCTGCTCTTTGAACATTTTAGTGTTATTTCTTTGATAAGTGGTGGTGTGGGCTCGCTTACATGCACATGCTATAAGTGAGCGTACACAACAAGGAACTGGGTTGTGTGCATGCCGCGCAGGTCAGCTGATGCTCGTCTTATGACCAAAATCTTGTACTTTTTGCCTCCTCTTTTTATCCACCACATAAGTGGAAAGACCACTCACTCCTAGTCATGCTGAATGTTCTACATAATGAAAACACTCTGGGTGGTTTTCTTCAGAGCAGGATTTGGTAAGAGCTTGCCAAATTAGTTTTTCCTTACCAACGTGTTGAGCGTGGAGTTGGATTTGAGTGATCCACCAGAACCAGGAGTTTTTGATGTTTTTCCTCTGACTTGCCTCCCACCCATTCTTTCCAGAAGCTCCAGGTGTTTGCGGAGGGGGCGGCCCCTTCAGCCGGCGATCTTTCTGAGGAGGTGGAGGAGGCGCAGAGCTGCAGCGTCAGGCTCCCAGGGGAGGAGGAGGGCTACGACGCTGACAGCGAAAGCAACCCAGAGAACATGGACAGGCAGGAAGAGGGTAGGTCCACACACACAATCACTCCTCATTGGTTACTTGCACAGTTTTGCCTTCTTCACCTTTAACCTCATAAATTTTTCAGCTTCTGTTTATTTTTAGCTTTACTCTAAATCACATGTAGCTCGTGCGCTCAGTCTGTTGTTTTTGTTGGTGATAAATGTCAGCAGACTGATCATGATTGATCAGGAGGTCATGTGCTCATCTCGACCTCCTACTCTCTGATCTGGGGTCTTGGGAAATCTCCTTTCTCACTCAGCTGCTGGTTAAGTTTGCTTTTGCAGAGTTGTTAATTCTTCTGCATTCACATGAAGATTTTAGTGCTTTTTTGAGCTGGTTGTGGTTTTTTTTTTTTTTTCTCTAAAACCCAACATCCTCCTTTGGTGGCCGGCAGAGGACATTTAGCAACAAGAAGTTGTTCTTTGTCCGTGACAAAGCAGAAAAGAGCTCGGAGCCTCTGGTCTCAGATCAGCCTCTCCTCTCCAGACTTCCAGGTTAACAGCGTCGCCCGTCTGCACTGTTTTTACTTTAACGCACTCAGAATAGAGCCATTGTTTTAGGTTTTACAACAGCGGGCAGCAGGAATCTTTGGCCTCATAAGCTTCATCTTGTGACTGGAAGTCTCAAATAGATAGATTTTCTTTTACTTCCTGGAAACTCTTGCGTCATATAACTTAGGGAGTCCTTTTAAACTCATTCTGAAAAGATCCCAAGCAAAATCTGAGAACTTAATAAATCACAAGCTGTAAATCCAAATTCAGCTTCAAAAGGAACTCTCCTCATCCTTTCTGCTTTAGCCACAGACTCGATATAAATCACTACAAATATTTCTTTTATTGTGAAATTTTAGGGTGCAGAAAGCAGAAAGAACATCTGTTTATTTAGACACTTCATGTTTTGTTTTAATTCCTGTTACCGCATTTTATTCAAAGCTTAAAATTGTAATTTGTGTTCTGATTAGTGGTTTAAAGTCACTACTATAAGGTCAGGATGATGTAAATAAGAGTTTGTGACGAGCTGGAAAAGTGAGGCTGCTCGCTTTAATGAGCCCACAAACCAAATATAATCTGCAAAACAACAGGGTAACAATGGGCTTAACAGTGTTTTATTTTTGTGTAAGCTTTAAGAGGAGACTAGCCAGAAGAAGTGTGACTATAAGGCCATTTAACAGTAGTACCCAGTGCATAAGATCAGGGTAAAGGATTTTATTAAATTTTTTTATTACTTTCTTTTTATTTTCCAGTCACATGTTTTGCTTGTAGAAGATTTGGTGCTAGTGTGAGCTCTCGAAAATATTTATGTCTTTGCTTGATCGAGTCCGTAGGAATCCGTCCAGCTGTTTGCTGTGCCGCTCCCGGAAAAGTGTGTGTGTGTTTGTGGGTGTTAGCTGGTAGTAATCTGTAGATGTGCGTTAGGAAGCCAGTGACGTCATTACTGAACGGACGTCCTAGTAGCCATGTGAGTGCCCGCTTGGCTGCAGGCCTGTAAATCATGAGGGAGCTCCCATGCAGCCCCGAGGCAGAGTGCAGACCTAAGATTGATTCATTTGTGCGAAGAGGGTGGACATGAAGGAGGTGGACAACTGGAATTCAAAATCTGTGTTTTAATTCCTGCACGCCTGCCTGCTGGTGTTTAATTGAGCCGTTCCGTTGCGAATGGTCGTTGTTTCCATAGGAGGGAAGGCGGAGCCAGCTGGGCTGCGTGAGTTTGTGGCGACGGCGGCGGATGGGCCGGGGCGTGGCGTGCTGCTGTTCCCTGAGATCTGCACAATGGAGCTGCAGCTTCTAGCCTCCGGCTCACCAGACCTGGAGGTTCTCAGTCATGTATTTCACAGCCTGCTGGGTGCAGTGCATGGCAACAGCCACAACGCTGCCTTGCTCTACGATCAGGTCAGACGGAACGCTTTTATTTGTCTCCCTTATGAAAATCATTGTGGAAAAGCTCAACTTTCTGTTCCGGTTTCTCACAGGGAGGAGTCAAAACCATCTTACGTAGCTTTCACAACATCTTGGGTCAGAGCGACCCCTCCTTTACAGGTTTGTTACTCCATCTGAATGCTTTCTTCTCTTTAATGGTGTTCAAAGTTATGTTTTCACCTCATCATGATGTCCCTCTGAGTTTCTACTCTTTTTGAACTTGTTTATTTTTCCTTTTGCACGTGTCAACTAAGCTACTGTAACAGGAATCTGAAATTATGATTGGTAAATTATGCAAAAACATATAAAGCGTACCTTTTTTCAGTTTTACGGATCGATATTTTCATCTTTGTCAGTTTTTTGTAAATCTATTGTTTTCCATACATCTTTATTTAGATTTGAACACTTTTTAACATATTTCATGTGTTTTATTTTAAATTAGTTCTTCCTGAGCTTCTTTTTGGCCAGGAGCGAAGCAGGCAGTGGCTCTGTGTGGTGTTCAGGTGTTTAGCAAGCCGTTTGCATAATCAGCTCTTCACTGGTCTGCTCCCAGATTGCCAGACCGTGCTCGTGGAGCTGCTGGTTGCCATGGTGAGCCAACGGATCACGGCAGAGGAACTGGCTCTATTGATCCGCCTCTTCCTGGAGAAAGCCCCGCCCACGGTAATCGTCAAACCCCATAAGCTTCATGTTACGCGTGTGTATTGTCGGGTTCACAGGATGAAACTTCACTTTTTTTAAACGGAACCGAGAACTTGTGATGTGTGTCATCCTTCCTGTCACTTTATGGTTCTTAAAATCCCATCAACACATAATCCTCCCCCGAGTGGTCTTCCCATTACGCAGCGTTAACACAGAAAGGTGCAGCGTGAAGTCTAGAGGAGATGTTAATGAGCGGTCTCCAGGTGATGCACTTCTCAGTTTTATTTTTAACAGTAAGCGAGAACGACACGGAGGAGACATTTCATTACATTTACTCCTGTTTCTTGCTTTTTTCTTGTCGTTATTAAAGATTTAACAAAGATTTGCTGTTTTTTTTATTTAAAGATGCAAAAAAAAACTTTCCTCTTTTAATTGACTTTAACAGGATATCTTGCTGAAGGGTATCTTGCAAATCATCGAAACCAACATGAATATAGAGCCTCTTCACTTCCTGACCTTTCCGATCATCCTCGGGGCTTCAACACCAGGAAGTTTGTCTCCTGGCTGCAGACACAGCGCCACAGCCAGGAGGAAAAGTGTGGGTTTGCTCTGGAAGGGCAAACTGTCTCCTGGTCGCAAGGAGGGGGACGCGGAATATCGACCGAATCACTCCCATTCCTCTCCCTGGCACGTCGCTCCGCTCCACTTGCCCCTTGTGGGGCAGAACTGCTGGCCTCATATGTCCAACGGGCTCAGTGCCTCGTTGTGGCTAAAGGTGACGGAGCAGCAGGAGAACGACGGGGACAGAGACAAAGGTGAGACAAAGATTGCTCAGCTAGGATGTATCCATCTTGCCCGCAAACCTGAAACGTCGTTCTGAGATTCTTTGTTTTTCAGAAGAAAGTAGTCTCCCTGCAGCCGAGCCTCAGACTGGAGCGAGCTCAGAGGAAGACCTCATTCACATCCTGTCCATGGGCTCCAAGGCACTGATGCTTCAAGTGTGGGCAGACTTCTCCACAGGCTCCTTCACCTTCAGGTGAGCACCAGCTTGGATCGTAATCTAAAAAGTTGGCGATAAAGAATAGTTTTTTTTTATTCGATTGTTATTCATATTATTCATGCACCTCGAAGTTCTGTGACACGTTATTTTCCTCAGAATCTGTATCGACCCAAACGATGAGATGAAAGCTGGGCTGTTGGCGCAGGCGGAGTCTGGTGAGGGGTTGTTCAAACGGGGGCAGTGGCAGCATCTCAGCGTAACTTACAGCGAGCAGCAAGAGGGCAAGAAGAACGTCCGCGGCCGCGTGGTGGTCTGGGTGTGTGGCATCTGGTGAGAGAACCCGCCTGCGATACGCTGCTCTCTGTGGTGGCACTGACTAATGTCTGAATATATTTGCTCTCTTCTGAAGGAAATGTGAGGTTTCTTTGGAATACACTCAACCGAGAAAGTCCAGTTTCTCATCTGACAACAACAAAACCTTCTGCATGCTGGGCCACTGCACAGCTCCCTCTGCAGAGCTGCAGAAACAGGCTGGAGGCTGGAACATGGGCACTGTGCTTCTCTTTAACGGTACGTTTCCCGTCTTATTCCTCTGCCCGATTAACTCCGTCATCAGTTCTACTCCCTGGTAGTAAATTATTCACCAACCTTTTGTGTTACACTTACATTTTAAACACATATTCAGCAAGTGTGTTATTAGCTTCCTGTTCAATCAATCAAATTTATTTATAAAGCGCTTTTCAAACAAAGTGCTTTACAAAATGACCCCAGATTCCCATAACAGGTTAAAAACATTAACAGACATATGCAAGCACACGCACACAGACTCACACACGCACACACACACACACAAGTAAAAATTATATTTGGCTGAGTCCAGATGAGCCAGGTATGGTAACGCAAGGAAACGCCATCAGAGGAGCCGTCTGCCCCGGCAGCATCAGGTCTTCCACACTAAGTCAGGACGCTCAGTGGAGGGGGAGCATAGACCCCCACCTGTAGAGCGCCCAGGAAGCTACAGTCGACCACCGCTCCCGGGGCAGAGGGCCCCCACAGTGGAAACACTGGATTAAAATGAGTAAAAATATAATAAAAGAGCTAATATAAATGACAAAAGTTAGAAAATAAGTAATAAATAACATCATATAAACAGTAAAATATTAATATTAAATAATAAAACTGTGCTAAAATATAATTATATAGAACATGCTAAGCAAGTAATAAAATATAATCATGTAAAATGAGAAATAAAACTAGTAAATATTTAGATAAAAGCTAACCTAAAAAGGCGGGTCTTGAGTCTGGACTTAAAAACATGAACGTCCTCTGCGGCCCTGAGGTTCTCCGGCAGCTCGTTCCAGAGGCGAGGGCCGTAACACTGGAAGGACGCCTCGCCGTGAGTGTGTGTCCTGACTTTAGGGATGAGCAGTTAGGAGCAAAAGCTTTTTGGTGGGCTGTAATACAGTTGTTTCAGTATCCTGATACCTAAATAGACAAGCTGTGGAGCTGTCTATTTAGCAAAAAGCTCATTTCTAGAACCCCTTTAAGATGAATATGTTTAAGCTTGAGTTATTCTAAATGGACCGTAAAAACACTTTTACACTACAAACCAAACTCAACCCCAGGCACAGATTCAGAATTTGAGGGCAGCGTAGTGCTCACTTTCTTGCTCACAGTCATTTTATCATTTGGTAGGATCGTGGAGAAATGCTCTCACTGCATGAAATCTCCCCCTGAGCCACAAGCGCCACACAACTGACAGAATGTGCTTTACGTTGTTGTTGTTGTTTTTTGGGCAATTTTAAGGTGACATTTGAGTGAAATATCATTTCTTGCCTCTAATTGTCAGTGAGTGGTTTGCACCTGTGTTGGAAATCAGTTTGATTTTCATTTTTTCTATGAAAAGAGGCTGCTGGACTTCAGGATGTCAAGAAAAATACATCAAATAAAACATCAAGGCGCGCCATGGAAGCTGGAGTTTCTTTTCATGTTTCATGGCATCGCATGGTTTCAGCTTGAGGATTATTCATGAAATGTTTTTGATGAGAAGTCCAGCTTAGATTATTTTAGCACCTTAGTGAAATAAACATTCAAGTGTGCAGGGCATTCCCTAGCAGAGAAGAAAATAACACATAAAACATGCTAGATTTGTTGTAACCGTCTAACTTTGTGTGTGTGTGTCCGTGTCAGGGTCTAGAATAGGATCTGAAGAGGCCTTCTACCTGTTCTCCCGTGGTCCAGACCTCACATCAATCATGCCCTGCAAATATGGCAAGTCAAGTGGATCCTTCTCCAAGTTTGTCACCGAGGAAGGTCTGAAGTGTGAACACATGAGAGAGATTCTGATGAAGAACAAAGACATAGACACAACAGCATTGGTCGTAAGTCTTTCCTGATGCTTTTTCCAGTGTCAGAACTAATGATCTGTTCTTAGGTGGATCCCTTACTTTTATTCTTTTCTTTTTGAAGTGCTTCTGCAGCAGTGATGAGTGATGCTGCATGACAGGAAGAATTTTTCCATGATGGTTAAGACTATTGTAGTTAAGCTGCAGCAGTTTCTTTGAGACTGAAAACGGTTTTTCAAACGTTAATGCGAATGGATTAGCTGATAATCGCTATGGTGATAAAGGAGACAATTAATCTAATATTTTATGCCAAATCACTTAAAAGTACAAATTTGGCCAGTTTTGATATCCTAAAAAATGTATTGTTGTGCAGGAGAACCTGGCCGTTGTGTACGCCCCCAGCAGTCTGAGAGTCTACACCATATATGAGCCCGTAATCCGACTGAAAGGTCAGGCCAAGACGGTAGTCACCCAGCGGCCCTTCAGTTCCAGAGAGGTGCAGAGTGTTTCCCTAGACCCCAGCGCTCTCAGAGCTCTGCTTCCAAACCACACCCAAGGCCTGCAGAGCGTCCTGCACAAGATCGGAGGAACGGGAACGTTTGTCTTCCTTTTTGCACAGGTAGGATGAGGCTCTGCACTAATGAGCTGCAGGGACCACCTGTCTTAAACCCTGGGAAGTAGTTTTTCCAGTTTCTTAACTCATTCACTGCCAGTGGCGACCAAAGTCGTCATTTTTTTACTGCGTGGGCATCGAAGTGAGCCCGCGCTGAGAGAACAAACATCCCAGCTCTAAAGCCGATCTTCATCCGCGTACGTCACACGTCACGTGATCAGGAAGCAGAACATCCATGTGTTAGGAGATCGTTTTGGGCCGCTGCTGTAAAAAAAAGGGAGGCGTGAACCAGCAAAGCTTCTGCCGATCACAATTCAACACCGGATTAGGAAAGAACGGATAACGCTCTAAACGCGCGGATTCTTCCTGATGTAAGGGGTGAGTCTCCGCTTTGTTTTGGTTGTTTTGGTGTCGACATCGTCCTAGCGCACAACGTTCTGTGACTCTTAAAAAAACTGTGAAAACGGTGAGAAACGCTGGCAGCGAATGAGTGAATAAAATTCCAAAAGTCACAATGCTGGTAATAAATAAAGACATACTGAACATCAACTAATAGATAACAAACACTACAGTGGTTTAACCTAATGAAGCCAAAGTAGAAGGAGAAGATACTTCTGGAAAAGGCTGAAAATAATGTATCAGCATCACAGGTGCCTGTTTAAAGGCTGGAGTGTAGTCACAGGTGTTTGGTATCTGGGTGTGTACCTGAACCAGAGAAAGCTAAGGACGCAGTTGTCTCCGGACGGTTGGATGCATTGTTTAGGTTTTAGGTCCACCAGACTGTAGACAACCTCCCTGGATGTGGACATGAGAGGACAACTGAAGACGAACTAGGATGACTTCTAATAGGCTTATTGTTGAACTCCAGAGTTAAAGTTCACCTGTGTCAGATCACACCATCCGTTGCTATTTGAGCCAAAGTGGGCTCAATTATCAAGTCACAAAGCTTTGGGGAGCACATGCTTTGGACAGACGACACAAAACCGGAGCTTTTTGACAAATCGGCTCGAATACTAATAAAAGAAACCTGGAGCTAGTGTAAAACATGGATAAGGTTCGGTTCTGGTCTGGAGCTGCTTTGCTGCATCTGCTGCCAGTTGTCTTAAATATGTTCAGGGTCACCATCAAGACATCTGAGAGTTCAAAGCGCTGCTGGGTGTCGGAACGTTTGGTCATCGGTCCTCCAACAGGATAAAAACACAATAAAGGATCAGAACAAGGTACAGGACTGTGTCCTTTGACCCCTATCGAACATCTGTGGCTGAAACATCTGGAGGAGGAACTCTTCAGATGTGAGACCGCTGGAGTGGGTCAGAGTACCTGTTGGCTTGATGACAGCTATTCACTCAAAAGTTTTGGGTATTTCTTTCGTTCACTTCCCTCACTTTTAGAGGAAGTTTTGTCTTTAACTAGTTTCTTCATCTTTGTGGTTGCGTCAGCCTCGTGTTCATGGAGATGCTGCAGTCGGCCGACGCTGCAAAGCAAGTTCCAACACAAAGAGTCAAACTGCAAAAGTGCATTTTTCATTTCTGTGATGAGCTCTGTACCAAGTTAAATAGTAATCGTATTTCTATAATATGACTTTTAATTAGGAGCTTTTTAGTAACATTAGTTAGAAATACTAGAAGTGATTACGTTGCTTTCACTTTTCAAGAAAATGTTTTGTATCAATTATTTTTGTACATTTATTTTTAAAAGCTGTTTAAATTATTCTTATACTGTATATGAATGAACAACGGGTCAGACATGTTATCTGTCTCTTGTCTCGGATCTTCTCGACGTCCAGACGGTGGAGCTGAGCAACTGTGAGAAGACCCAGGCCCTGGCTCTTCGAGCGCTGCTTTCTCTGTGCAAGTACAACCAGCACCGCATCCATGAAATGGACTGTTACCATGGTTACGCTATGATCCACCAGGTCCTCATCAAGTCTAAATGCATCGTTGGATACCATATGCTGAAAGTGAGTCATGCCTCCAAGTCTTTGCCATGCTCGGTTTCCGTAGGTTCGGTTCTACACCGCGACTCGCTCGCCATAACTTATTTTTGACATGAACTTGACCTGACTCGGTGTTGGTGACTCCGCTGTTACCTGACCCTGTAGCTATGTCTGTAATAGAGCCGTGTGATGGTTCTGGGCTGAAATGGATTCGGTCTGACTTGATGAAACTCCGAGCTCCTGCAGATTTTTTCAGCACCTCTGATTGCTTTTCTCACTTTAGACTTCCACGTCCCGGATTGTCAGCTCAGCACCGGACTGCTCTGATTAGTGATGCTACACGCTAATAATTATGCCTGTTTGAAAAAGGAACATGCTGTGCTTGTATATCCCCTTTTCAGACTTTATTCTGTATAAAGTGAAATCAGCTGAAGAGCTCAGTAATGTAGCACTTTAACTTTGTCATGCTTTTTAATTACTTATGTGAAAAACTTCTAGCTTCTGTCCTAAAGGACCTCGATGTACCGGAGACGTAAAAGACTCCAGATTTATGACCACTGCAGTAAGACCAGTCACAGATAATAGATTTAAATCAATACAGAAGAGGAGGTTTTACCTGTTTTAGTTCTGCATTACTGTAAAGAATGGGTCGTTTACATCTTACTTGTGAACCATAAAATGTGAGATTCCATAGAAATATGAAATATATCAATCTGGTGGATCTTTGAATATTTTAACCAGAAGATCAGAACTTTTTACTGCAGGGATTAAGCGACACTTCGTATTAACTCCGAGGAAAGAGAGAGAGTCAGGTTTATAATAGTTAAGAAATTTATTTCTACACAATTTAAACAAGACTAGCTTAAACACTCTGTGTACTGATGGACTAAGGAGGGGTGAGATGTGATGAATGATGATGGTGTGTGTGTGTGTGTGTGTGTGGAATGTTATTCAGAACCAGCGGATCCGGAGAAGCAGTTCTGAGTGGGAGTGAATGTTTCGCTCTAAACTTCAGTCGGAGATTTATAACACACATGAAACGCCATCTGTCGGTCTACGTACCCCAGGGGAAGCCTCCGTTAGATCCAGAATATTGAGGTCCTCTTGGACCCTCTTTGGTACCGAAGCCAGTAGAAAAGCAGCGGTGCCGACCAGTCTAGTCTTGGAATGCTTCCAGGTCACGACAGGTTATCACTGGTGTCTCCGAGACCCTGAAGGGGTCGTGAGGTTCAGCTTTTATTTTGAAGGAACCGTTGTGGTCAGGTGTAACTGCAACAGATTTTATCCAGCTTGTCGAGGTTTTCTATGGCTGAAGAGGAAGTCCGGATGGCCGGTCCGAGACTTCTCTAGAACGCTTGAACTAAAGAAAAGGTGGCGTGGGATAGTTTTTATAATTGTCATATTTTGGTTTACTGGCGAATCAGAATTTGACATGCAAAAGAGGGTTTATACAAACACCACGGATAACCACGCCTAGCCAGAAACGAAGGTTCTGATTGGATCAGACTAAAGGAAATGTGTCGTGTGACTTTAGCATTACTCTGTGTCATCACGTGTCGAGTGCAGCTGTCCAAGATTATAATAACTTGTAAAATATTACTGACCACAGGATTAGAATATCAAGTAATAACATTGTTATTTCACAGATTGATTGAACATTGGGCTCACATTATTATTGGCAATAACAAAGTTGTTTGATTACGTATTTATCAAGAGAGTTCTCCGTCTTGTCTTGAGCTGTAAAGAGGTGAAGCAGTTCAGAGGAGCAGAGTGCATGAAAGACCTTGGTCACCATCTCATGTAGATTAGGCTGTCAGAGACTTTATGTCTCTGCTCGAGCAGACGCAGCAGAGCATGACCTTTAGGTCAAAAACAGGACATTCATGACGCTGCATTACTAATCTTCAGTATAATTAGGCACGTACTTGATTAGGTTGTGTGCTCTTTTTTTAAGAGACAGTGTTTCTGCCACATTCTGTCTTTTTAGACTTTGCTGGACGGGTGTTGTAGTGGACCGATCCTCGTCCTGGGCGACGAGGGTCACTTCCATTTGGACACTGAGTCGGTTGCTGTGGTGCAGGACATAAGGCTCCTGTCATACATCCTCCTGGACTGGAAGATCTGGGCCAAGGCTGAGGTAAACATGTGGTCAGTGAGGACCAAAACAAAACCTTTAGTCTTTACAGATGTTTTCATCACCCACTTCTGAAAGGCAAAAAGGGGGAGATTATGTTTTTCTGCATTTGTGTGTGGGATTGTTAGCAAAATATTTCAGGATTAACTGGACGGATTTTAATAAAACTTAAAGGGGAAATATTCAGACTTTTTTCTCTCAAGCTGTAATAGTTCTGTGTGCGATTTAAAACACGTTAATAACGTTTTTGGGACAAAATTCCTCTCACATAAAGCAGTTTTATTCGTAACACTTTTTGTATCCTATTGAATGAGCTGTTTCAGGGATCTGTCATTTTAAACAAGCTACTTTCCCCATTTGTGACATCACAAACGGGGACATTTTGAAATGGCTTGTTTTAAGCAGATAAATCCTAAAATGAAACACAGAAAGTGGATGAACTGGTTTTTTTCACATTTAGAGTGTTAAATAGAGGCATCAGTAGCACAAAAGGTGAGTTTTGCGTAATATGTCTACTTTAAAGTCATAGATGAAGTCAACATTCTTCTTCCGGCTCTTGGCGGGTGCAGACGCTTTTTTCCTCCTCTCCTCCATATCTTATCCTAAAGGCCTTTGTCTGTCTCTGTGTGCTGAGTGCACGGCTGCTTCTGCATTTTTCTGGAAACTGGAAACTGAAATCACTAAAATGGACCTCATCAGTTGGTCTCTCAACGCGATTGATAACATTTTTCCAACAATGGGAACGGGAGAAGGGGCTCCCGGATGTCCCTCCAGTACAGACCCAGTTGGACACATCATGGACTCCTGGAAACAGTGGAACTTGATCTGTTTATCTCTGCTGTCTGTGGAGGACTCTGAAGACGTGTGGATATTCGTGGTGTTGGTGTCAGGTTTCCTGCTCATTGGCCTTGGAGGCTACCTGGCTTACCGGAAAATTAACGAGCTGTCGAGGAATATTGGCCTGATCCCGGAGCTCAGAGATGGTTTGCACCGCGCTGTGAATTCACAGACTCACATAATTGTCGAGATGAACCGTAAGCTTGGGACTTTGGCCGAGATTCATTCATTGGCACAAAAGATGGATGCCATCAAGGATAGAGTGGACGAATCAGCACGGATTGGGATAGATTAATGTCCATTATTGGGATTTTGAGAGGTTGAGGACCAAGGAACTCTAAAACAAAGAGGAAATTATCTCTGTCTTACCCCAAAACAATTTCTAATCGGAATCTGGTATCCTTGAGCCTGCAAGGCTCCAACAAAAACTCCCCCCTCAGAAGATATGTGGAATGTGCCGTCGCTATGGCAACTCAACTTTGTCTCCTATCCCAGCCTGGGCGGGACTGCGAGAAGGCCGCCGAATCATTCCAGGGTCACTGCAACCCTCCAACCCTCAATGCTCCTCCCCCTGTTCAGACTGAGGTGACATGCGCTGCTTGTAGTGGCTGCAGGAACTGAAGTAGGGATAGTCCCAAACCCACCACCCCACCTAGTGGACACTTATGTTGTGTAATGTCTGAAGTCTGTTGCATATCTGTCTGAGGTGTTTTTTGCAGAGCAAAGCTGCCCTCCTGGTGGCGGGTAACTCTGAAGTGCCTTTTTTCCCTCCACCTGAACCAATCCTCATGAAACCCTCTGATCTCTATTAAGGTAGCGCGACTCAGGGTTGCGAATGACCACAGTCGCAAATTCTTGTCCTGTGTCTTGCCCATGTATGTCTGACCTCTGAATTGTGTGTACTGAAACTCTAATTTCCCTCTGGGATTAATAAAGTATCTTTGAATTTGAACCACAGCTAATCAAAAAGCATAAAAGTGGCTCTGACTGAAGAGCCACCGATATGGGTTTTTCTGCTGCTGGTGCTCATATGTAGAGGTTGCGGTCTGTTGATCTAGAGGTTTTCCGCTTTATTTGATGGCCTGTATTTGATGAATATTATTATTATTTACTTGTTTGCCTGCTTAAACGTCACAACAGTAGGTGCACAACAAGTCTGAACCTGATCAGTTTTTGAACACGAATTCAAACAACAATTGAATCTTAACTTTGTGCACTGCTCTGATTACAATCAAGCATTTAACTAATCAAACAAATCAGTAAACCAACCAAGTATTAAATATAAATAACAGGTAACAAAAAAAGTCAGTTAATAATGTTTTGGCTAATTTATATCTGTCTCTGACTGTTTTCATTTTATCGATAAGAGCTAATAAACAATAATGACACACATTCTTAACGGGTAGTAAAAGATTGTGTTGTTTGATGGTCTCACAGCTATAACTCCACTTTGTAGTGTGGCGTGTGGGAAACCCTCCTTGCTGCTTTGGAGATCCTCATCCGGGTGCGTCACCCTCATCAGGTGTACAACATTCGTCAGTTCCTAAATGCTGAGATAGTTCATCGCTTCCTGCTCACATGCCAGGTGCTACAGGTATGCTACGCTTCTGTTCCCAGACCCAGATTCTTCTCAAACTGGCATACTAAGAACTTTTCGTTTTCCTTAAGGAGCATCGAGACGAGCATCTGACTGCCATCCCTCAGGAAGTGTGTTTGTCCTTCATCAAGATCATCCAGGAGGTCCTGGGCTCTCCTCCAGACATAAATCTGCTAAAGCTGATCTGTAACTTCCTGCTGGCTGTTCACCCGCCCACCAACACCTACGTCTGTCACACACCATCCAGCTTCTACTTTTCTCTACACATAGGTCAGGAAGCAGAGTGGCTGACAGACACGTCTGTATTAAAGCACCATCAGCTTAACCCACCCAATTCTTTTTGATGTCTTTGTCAGATGGGAAGCTGTACCAGGAGAAGGTGCAGTCCATTATGTTTTTGAGACAACACTCCAACAGTGGAGGGAAGTCTGCCAGCAGCTCTGTGGTGTCTCTCTCCCCGACTGTTTTCACCGATGCTCCTCACGAAGGTACTTCTGCTGCAGCGGAGTGAACGTGACCTCAACGCAGTGCAGGACACAAGACACAATTAAATACCAACCTTTGGAGCTGAAAAGCAGCCGATCTGTAATGTTCCCTTTGAAGAAATGCATTTACATAAGTTTCACATGTCTAAGAAAAAATGATCTAAAAATATATATTTATGGAAGTGTGACAGCCAAAACATGTATAGAAATAATAAATGTCTTCTTCATACGTTCTCCTGCAACGCCCTGGTCCTGTAGAATGAGCCCTGGCATTTTTACTGTGATTGCCTGTTTTTCTGTAAAATCACAGAAAAAGAGAGATGCTCGGGTCGAGCAGGCTGCTTCATGCGCGTTCACGCTCAGGCATCGCCCGTAGCATTTGCTATCCGTAGCTTTAGCAGCAGAGAGAGAGGCAGTGCCACTTTGTCGCTGTTCCTAACGCCTAGTGACAAAGCTAGCTACATTTCTGAGGACCCTTAGCTACTTTCTGTAGGACTTTCTTCTAGATATTTCCTGCAAATTAGCAACAAAATAGCCATTTTCACTCCGAACCGTTCTTTGAACGTTGTTTCAGCTGTCATCAAGGATATAAATGTTACAGATACAGATGACGTCACCGGCGCTTTAGCTCACCTAGTAAGACGTCGGACTCCCATGCGGAAGACCCGTGTTCGATTCTGAATGTGAACATAGTTCATTTAGAGTTTCTTTTTTACATTAATGGTATATTTTTTTACAGTAAGACGCCCAAATTTTTATTTGAGACTCGCCGAACGGCATTGAATTCACAGATAAAAAAGATGTGGGTTCAACTTTCATTTTGGAACAATTTTTCAAGCAAGGGAAGGGAATGATCTGAGCATGCAGGAGGACTGACCCATCATAAACCTTTGTCGGCTGTGCTGAAGAGAAAGGTACAGAACCACATTATTTCATTAATTAGCTGCTCGTTCTCCTGTCCTCTGTCCCCCCCCCCCCCCCCCCCCCCACACACACACACACACACACACACGGGACTGTCTCAGCTGTTATTTTTGTGAAGGAGTGTGCACGTACAGTATGCACGCCTCGTGCACGAGCCTACTATTGAAGCTGCCGTTACGCTTTTGGCCTGAGGGGGCGATCGCGAGCATAAAAATTCAAACCTCTGTAAAGTCCCTTTAAGGAAATGGACATCTCTGTTTAATTGGACATCCCTCAACATTTGTTGTAAAGAAAACATGTTTTAATTTGTTTTACCACAGATATTGTTCATATTCCTTTCTAAAGTCAAATCACCTATAATAAATTCCTGTTTTCCAGGCCATCTGCAGGCTGCTTCCCCTGAACATGGAGGCGATTCCCAGTCACTACGCCCTCCGAGTTTGGCTCCATCCCCGTACTCCTCTCCCCTCCTAACGCTTCGGCTTGGACATGGCAGCTCGAGTGAAGCGGCTGAAGGAGACAGGGTCTCTCTGACTTCTCAGCAAACTCTTGGCAGCACAGAGACCCTCAAGAAGGTTGGCGGTGACGCGCAGCTCCTCAGCAGCTGCGAGTCAGCGAAGACCATCTGCGAAGCGGTAGAGGGTGCTGCACCTCGCACCCCGTCCATCAGCGTGGAGGAGGAGCGGGACGAGGCAGCGGAAGTGGACAGTCTGGCCGAGGGCAGCGTTGGAGTGTTGGAGTCCGAGGACAGGTTCGATTGGGCCAGCGATGAGGCACCACGCCGCCCCGACAGCCTGAAAGGGATTCAGTCTTTCCAAAGGAGCCACAGCAATCTGACAAGTTTGGGCCTAGCTTTCCCGTTTCCAAATGGCTCGTTGACTGTCGGCCGCTGGCCCACCGCTGCTGATCGAGGCTCCATCCCTGAAGACTGGGAAAGCTACACCTACTCTCCCGGCTACGACAGGGCACACAGCAAGACCGAGTCCAACGGCAGGTGCGGAGCCTTCTTCGATTGTGTTGAAAATGCCACAGAACTGGAAATGTGTCAGTAATTAGCACTTGTGTTGTTTGCCTCAGGTCCAGCACAGAGGACTGCTTGGTTCTGATCTGCTGTGGACTCTATGATCTTCTGAGGGGCGTCCTGCTGCTGCTGCCTGACCTCATGCTTGAGGAGGTGATGGACAAGCTGATCCAACCAGAGGCACTCATCGTCCAGGTCAATCACTCCTCATCCCTCATCCAGCAAGGAGTCATGAAGGTTGGTTTCTTCTTCATGAAATCCCTCCGATGGTAGAGCAGGAGGTCACTTTAGCGCCCTCTGTCAATACTTACACACCAGCTTAGAAGGTTACCTTGTCAGTATTAGCGTCAGTATTACCTATTTGAGTTAAACACCTGGTAAAAAAAAGAAATAATTAAATGAGGAAGCCTGACTAATTTTTATTTAATTCATAAATGTATTTATTTGGTCTTATTTAATAGAGCTATTTTAAAATGAAAGCATGCTCAGGCATCACGGGGAAAGGCAGCAGTTCAAACATGTGACCAGCCTCGTTCAGTGTTGCGGGTTATAAATCAGGTGCATTGATGTACTTATCTTCCCATCTTCTCTCCAAGCTGCTGGATGCATACTTCAGCAGAGCTCTCAAAGAGCAGAAAGAGAAGTTTTTGAAGAACCACGGCTTCTCGCTGCTGGCCAACCAGCTGTACATCCACCAGGGCAGCCAGGGGCTGCTCGAATGCTTCCTGGAAATGCTGTTCGGAAGGCAGATGAGCCTGGAGGAAGAGTGAGTTCAGGCACGACACGTCCAGCGTGGTCGATCTGCTTCTCCTCATCATTATTCTGTCTACAAACAGAATGATGTTTGTGAATGCTCTGTCTTGTGTTGTTTTCCAGTCTGGACCTGGAAGAAATGGAACGTATTTCCCCCTTCAGGAGGCGCTGTATAATCCCAGTGCTGGGTCTTATTGAGAACTCCCTCTATGAGAACTCTTTGGTGCACAACATCCTTTGTATGCTGCTGCAGCTCGTCAACGCCTGCCCCAAGCTGGCCGACATCCTGCTCGACCACGGGCTGCTCTACGTGCTCTTTAACACCCTCTCCACTCTAAATGGCATGGAGAACAGGTACGGCTGCTGGCAACCAGAGGGATTCGTCCACACACCTCCACTGGTTTTGTGTTGAACCAGCGAACCAAGAATTAAACCATTTATCCTTTTTGTTGTGGGTCGATCTTACGTGTCTGACTTCCTGTGATGCCTCTCTCTCACTCTCGCTCTCTCCCTGCAGTATTCCCCTGAACGACTACAAGCTCCTGGTGTGTGACATCCAACAGATGTTAGTCGCCGTGACGATCCACTCCTGCAGCTCTTCGGGGTCCCAGTACTTCCGCATCATCGAAGACCTTGTTTCTTTGCTGGGTTTCATGCAAACCAGCAAGATGCGCCGCACTCAGGGTGAGGACTGGGCCTCTGAGCTGACACTTTTCATAATTCTGTCCATTTTATTGTTATAATCTGAAATGGTCACATCTGTTTTCCCAGAAATGGCCGTGGCGTTGCAGTTCAGAGTCCTCCAGTCAGCGATCGAGTTCATAAAGTCCACGGCCAACCAGGAACCCCAGAAGCTGAGCGGTTCCGTCAGCACACCCAGCTCCCCGCATCCTACCATCTATCAGAAGCGTCGGAGCATAGCAGGTGAGTGCAGCCAGGCGACGCTGCAGCAGAAGCCGGGCTGGTCCTGTCCGTCTGCAGAATTCATTGGGTTCATCCATCCTCTCATCCCGATCCCAAGGTTCCATTGCCGTGAAAGACTCCATTATCCCCCGCATTCCCCAACAGCACTACTGCTCCTACGGCCAGATCCCCATGTCCCCTCCCTTCAGCTTCCTGTCCCAGGACTCCCCCCTCCCCTCCCCCGCCGGCGCTCCGTCATACATGCTCCACTGTGATGCAGGTAGCTGGGTCCACATATGAGGTCATGCCCCCGCATCATGGGGGGCTGTCTCCTATGTTTGCAGTGATTTTCCTCTCTCCCTAACCCTCACCTCCATGAGGGGGATTAACTCGCCCAGTACCCAGTGGAGCTGCTGGTGCCTTCATGTGTGTGTCTGCGTGCTCGAATGCTTACCTGAGTCAGCGTGAAGCATTTGGACTGAGTGAATTTAATAAGATGCTTTACCTCACAGGGTTTTGAAAAGCAGGAACCCTGTTACTCTGATATTTATCTTCTTGTTTTTATTTTTAAAGAAGCTGAACACAAAGATTTATTCCGCTTGCAGGTCGGCGGCGATTCTCCCTGGCCCAGACCGACTCCCTCCTGATGCGGATGCGTTCCGTAGCCAGCGACGAGCTTCACCAGATGATGCAGAGGAGGATGAGCCAGGAAAACCCCATCCGAGCCAGCGAGACCGAGTTCGTCCAGCGGCTGCAGAGACTCGTGGTTCTTGCTGTCAACAGACTCATTTACTACGGTGGGAAACATCCCTGATGAACATTTTGTTCTGATCGTCACCACCTGCTCTCTAATCTAATCTAATCTAAATTAACTCGTTTCAGACGTGAGCGAGGATTTATTCGACCTGCTGAATATTCCGGACTCGCCGGACCACCAGCTCCTTACACCAGAACCAGGCGAACAGCCACACGAAGAGAGCTCCTCTTCCTCCTCTGTCCCTCACTCTCCGACACCCTTCACCCTGCCGCCCGCCAACAAGAAGAGCTTTCAAAAAGACGTCCTCAGACTCATGATGGACGGGATCAAAATCAGCCTGGTAGGATCTTTAGGAGCTTTTTCGTTTCGCCTCTTTTAAATCTCGTGAGTGACTTTTGGCCCTGTGGGTTCACAGGGCAGCACGGGTCGCGGCGGAGCACCGAATCACCAGTGGAGAAGAATCCTGTGGTCCTGTCGGGACACGTTTAGAGTCCAAGTAGGACGTCTTCTGGTGCACACGCTCAGCCCTGCACTCCCACTGAGCGACAGGAAGGAGGCGCTGGAGTTCGTGTTTGATCCCAAACATTTGGATATCCTGAAAGAGAGCCTTAGCCCTGGTCTAGAGGTGAATGTAAAAGTAGTAGACACCGATTGCTCTGGTCTGAATAGATTCTTGTCAACGATGGCGGCTAATTAATTATTTGAAACGTTACAGGTAAAACCGGGTTTCTGAGCCAGGATCTGAAAGGGTTAGGGTTCGACCTAACCCTAACCCTAACCCTAACCCTGTAAAACAGGATTTTTCACTGTTTGATCAGAATACGGACCGTAGAAAACCCTTAAAGATGTACTGCAGCACTTGTTATCTAGAGAACCTTCAAAAATAGTTTCTCCACCAGCTTCTCTTTATTTTTCTGCAAGTGCGTACTATAAGTAAATTCTTCTGTCAATAACTTAACCAAACAGTGGAAATTCCTCAGTAAAGGCCTGATTTACCTCAGATTTTGGGTCAGAATTTTATGATTCTCCCAGGAATCCTCCATAAAGTTAGCAGCTACGTTCGAAAAGACTTGATTCACTTTATTTTAATGTATTTAGTTAATCTGGTATTTATTTTATTTTATTTTCTTCAGCACGGGCCAAAGTTGTCTCTGTACCTGTACGAGATGCTGCACGATCACAAGGACGACCTGAGTAAAGACGAGAAGAACGCCGTGGGCGTGTTCATGACGTCTCTGAAGCTGTGCGGTCATCGCTGCATCCCGCCCAACGTGCCGCACAAACAGGACCTGCTCAAGGCCATAAAAGAGGTGGGGGGGGGGGCCTTCAAAAGCTGAATGACTCCTCAGAAAAGCCGTTTTTATTATCCATTTATTCCCATTTGCTTTTAAATCTGCAGGAAAAGTTCAAGTATGAAGCAGAAGAGAAAACGAGTAAAGTGGCATGGGAAAAGAAGATGTCTAACGCTCAGAAAAAGTGAGTAAAGGCTTCATTTCCTCGGATATCAGATTAACGATGGGTGTGAATCATCTTTCTTGTTCCTACACAGTCTTATTCAGAGGCTGGATGGAAAGTCCAAGGACATTTCCAAGATTGCTGCCGATATTACTCAAAATGTGTCGCTGCGCCAAGGCATCGAGAGAAAGAAAGTCATCCAGCACATCAGGAGCCTGTACAAGACGGACCTGAGCGCCAGTCGCCACTGGCAGGAGCTGGTGCAGCAGCTGACCCATGACCGGTGGGTCGGAGCGTCTCTCTCTTAGCTCACCGCATCACAACAAAAACCCAGCAAACAAGATATGAGAAATGCATCAAAGCATCAAAGTTGGGTGCAATGGTTTGTTTCAGAGCTGTGTGGTATGACCAGACGTCCTACCCAACGTCCTGGCAGTTGGACCCCACCGAAGGGCCAAACCGGGAGCGCCGGCGGCTGCAGAGATGCTTCCTCACCATCCCAAACAAATACCTGCTGAAGGACAGACGGAAGCCTGAAGGTGAATAAAGTCTCTTTTGAGGAACTGGCTTCAGCTCTGATGTGTCTCTTTATTAATCTGATCCTCGTGCTGCCTTCAGAGCCGGTGAAGCCGCCGCTGTCCTTCCTGTTTGAGGATAAGACTCATTCCTCCTTCTCCTCCACCGTTAAAGACAAAGCCACCAGCGAGTCCATCAGGTACGGCTCTTCTTCATCAGTTCGGTCTGGAATTTTAAAATGATTTCTGCAACACTGAGAAACACTCATCTCCATCCTCAGGTTCACGAGACGCTGCACCAGCGTGTCTCCCTCCAGGGAGACCGCAGGGGAGTTGCTGCTCGGTGAGGCGCCAACATCCACAAGGCAGCATCTTAATGCCCTCAAACCTTTCATCTTCACTCACTCTGTTCTCCCTCAGGAAAGTCCGGGATGTACTTTGTGGAGGACAATGCCGCAGATGCTCATGACAGCCAGGTAAACAGCCGTTCGTCATTTCCCAGTGGGATGGTGTTACGTGAAATGGCTAGCTAACACTAAATGTGTTTACACAGAGCCTCCACGGAGAGACAGAGGCTCCTTCTTTCTCCTGGACTTATGAGGAAATCAAGGAGGTGCACAAGCGATGGTGGCAGCTGAGAGACAATGCTGTGGAGATCTTCCTCACCAACGGCAGGACCTTACTGTTAGCCTTTGACACCACCAAGGTGAGGCGAAACACCAAAAATATTCAGTCATGAAATAAACGCCAGGACATGCAGCACATAAAAACATGAGATCTGTGGTCTCCATACTCCAGCCGATAGCTCATTGCTGATGCAGTGGATGTTTTTGGAAAAGCCATTCAAGCTCGCTGTAATTTGGGAAAATAAATTCTACGGTCCAATCCCGTTTCTTTAGCCCCCCCCCCCCCCCCCCCCCCCAAGAATCACAGAATCTGACGGTCGCAGAAAAATGACATAACACCGCACGCGACAAATCCTGTCAAATAACCATAAAAACATAGATTTTTTTACAATTTTAACCTGTTGTTGGCACCTTTTCTAATATCATTCCCAACGTAAAGGTTGGTTTATGCTTGACGCGTACGCGAGGTCCGCACGGCTCCGCGCGGAAAAGTTGCATTATTTTAACAACCACACCCCTCCACCGCATCTCCGCACGGCCCAGAATTTCCGCAACGCGCACCTCGGAAAATTTCTAACCACGCGGACGGTCGGACGCGGAAAAACATGGCGGACCGGCAAGAACTAGTATGGCAGAGGTTGGTAAATACAGACATTTGTATCATTCAGCTCTCAGAGATCACCGTGATCAACATGATGTTAATAATTCTTGGAGAGAAATAGCTCGCACTGTCGGAAAAGACGAGGACGCTGTTGAAAATGCTGGAATGCCATGTTGTAAACAGTAATTTCTACTTCTACTATGGTGTAGTGTTGGATGCATGCCGTAGAGCTCCATGCTGCCCCCTACAGTTTGGGAGAATATTGGCTCACCGCAGAGACGAGCCGCATGAACCATAAACGCTGCGAGTTGTGAAGCGCGTTCCATCCGCGAGCCGCATCACCGCGCGGAAAGTAAATGTGTCAAGCATAAACCAAGCTTTAAGCACCTACATGACCAGATAACAATTTAGCATACAGGTGCTGGCCAGTAAATTAGAATATCATCAAAAGGTTGAAAATATTTCAGTAATTCCATTCAAAACGTGAAACTTGTACATTATATTCATGCAATGCACACAGACCAATGTATTTCCGATGTTTATTACGTTTAATTGTGATATTTATAGGTGACAACCAATGAAAACATCAAATCTGGTATCTCAGAAAATTAGAATATTCTAAAGGCCAATGAAAAAATGTTTGTTTCTCTAATGTTGGCCAACTGAAAAGAATGAACATGAAAAGAATGTGCATGTATAGCACTCAATACTTAGTCGGGGCTCCTTTTGCCTCAATAACTGCAGTAATGCGGCGTGGCATGGACTCGATCAGTCTGTGGCACTGCTCAGGTGTTATGAGAGCCCAGGTTGCTCTGATAGTCGTCTTCAGCTCCTCTGCATTGTTGGGTCTAGCGTATTGCATCCTCCGCTTCACAATACCCCATAGATTTTCTATGGGGTTAAGGTCAGGCGAGTTTGCTGGCCAATCAAGGACAGGGATGCCATGGTCCTTGAACCAGGTGCTGGTGGTTTTGGCACTGTGTGCAGGTGCCAAGTCCTGTTGAAAGGTGAAGTCTGCATCCCCATAAAGTTGGTCAGCAGCAGGAAGCATGAAGTGCTCTAAAACTTCCTGGTAGACGGCTGCATTGACCCTGGACCTCAGGAAACAGAGTGGGCCAACACCGGCAGATGACATGGCACCCCACACCATCACTGACGGTGGAAACTTTACACTGGACCTCATGCAACGTGGATTCTGTGCTTCTCCGCTCTTCCTCCAGACTCTGGGTCCTTGATTTCCAAAGGAAATGCAGAACTTGCTTTCATCAGAAAACATAACTTTGGACCACTCAGCATCAGTCCAGTCCTTTTTGTCCTTGGCCCAGGTGAGACGCTTCTTGCGCTGTTTCATGTTCAAGAGTGGCTTGACACACGGAATGCGACACCTGAATCCCATGTCTTTCATGAGTCTCCTCGTGGTGGTTCTTGAAGCGCTGACTCCAGCTGCAGTCCACTCTTTGTGGATCTCCCCCACATTTTTGAATGGGTTTGTCGTCACAATTCTCTGCAGGGTGCGGTTATCCCTAGAGCTTGTACACTTTTTTCTACCACATTTTTTCCGTCCCTTCGCCTGTCTGTTAATGTGCTTGGACACAGAGCTCTGCGAACAGCCAGCTTCTTTAGCAATCACCTTTTGTGTCTTGCCCTCCTTGTGCAAGGTGTCAATGATTGTCTTTTGGACAGCTGTTAAGTCAGAAGTCTTCCCCATGATTGTGGTGCCTTCAAAACAAGACTGAGGGACCTTTTAAAGGCCTTTGCAGGTGTTTTGAGTAAATCAGCTGATTAGAGTGGCAGCAGGTGTCTTCTATATTCAGCCTTTTCAGAATATTCTAATTTTTTGAGATACCAAATTTGGAGTTTTCATTAGTTGTCACTTATGAATATCAAATTTAAATGTAATGAACATTGGAAATACATTGGTCTGTGTGCATTGCATGAATATAATGTACAAGTTTCACGTTTTGAATGGAATTACTGAAATATTTTCAACCTTTTGATGATATTCTAATTTACTGGCCAGCACCTGTACTAGCTGATATAGTGTGGTATTTTTATAGGGGAAAATGAGGCAGTTTTTACCTTTCTTGGTTTATTCTCAACTTTAAAATCAGTGCAGCTCAGTGCCTTTAACAATCTGAGAAAACCCCACTAACAACATATCAAAACCACATTTACTTCATTGGATAAAAGCAGCGTGGGTGTCACATGTACCAAAAAGTCCAGGCCATTCCTGACCAGCATGTCTAAATGTTTGGATAGGCTTTAATTTAGAAATTCACCTAAGATGGTAGAAACAGGACTTCACTGTGCTACTGACCTAAGCGTCCGTCTTCAGAACCGGGCCCATTCCTACTCCCAAGGCTGGAAACAGTAGAGGTTACATTAGGAGAACGTTTTTGGCCAGCCATTCATTGACATCATGAAGACGATCAAACAGAGATGTAGTGGAGTCAGTGGGTTTAGGCCAAAAGTAGATTTGGATTGTCTCCATGTAAGTGGTATGAAATGGCATGCTGTCCGAGAATGCCCCTCATGGACGTAATTTTCACTTAAGAAGTGGGGGGGACACGGAGGGGGGGGGGGGGGGGGGGTCTTTACAGTATGCTCTAATGGGAAACAGGCTTCAACACAAATGGTTGTTTTCTGCTTGGTCCTAGAGCTCAACCAGTGTCAATTTAATATAGCGTAATGTTGTTTTTGGATGGTAAAAAGTGCAGGGGTCAAACCTTGACTTTGGAAAAAGTGGGGGGGACATGTCCCCCTGTCCCCCCCCCCCAAAATTACGTCCATGATGCCCCTCATAGGCAGAATATAGAGGGAGAACCGTAACGGGCCGAGGATGGAACCTTGAGGGACCCCCCAGGGAAGGGAGACCGTCTGGGATAAGTAGTTGTCCAGCATGACTCTGAGGGTCCTGTTAGAAAAGTAAGGCCAAAACTGGCTGAGAGCCAAACCTGAGATGCCAGCCCGTGTGTGTAGTCTGGAGACCAGGATGTTATGATTAATCATATCAAAGGCTGCAGGTAGATCAAGAAGTACCAGAACCACATGGAACCCTGAATCTCAACCAAGAAAGATGTCGTTAAACACACGCGCACGAGCAGTTTCAGTGCTATGCTGTTGTCTAAACCCAGACTGGAAAATGTCCATTACTTGATGGTCATTGCATCATGCATGTTTTTTTTCAAGAACCTTTGATTAAAAGTGGTAATTTTGAAAATTGGTCGGAGATTAGAGAAAACTGTGCAACTGGGCTTCCTTTCATGGAAAAAGAGATTTCAATAATGAACTAAACCTAGTGCACTGCAGTAGGTTCAACTGTAAAGTGACATGTTGTGGATTGGTGCTATATAAATAAACTGAATATAATTTAAAAAATGTTGTTCTGGGACCCCTTTAAAAGTTTTCTCTGAGTCGACGTAAAACAAAGACGATTTCAGTTTGTTAGCCTGAGAGAAATTCTGAGTTGGTCTGGAAAATGAAACGCAGCGTTCTTCTGGTAGATGAGTCTCAGACGTGTGTTCTGGCTTTAGTTCCGAGATGACGTCTACCACAACATCCTGACCTCCGACCTTCCCAACCTGCTGGAGCACGGGAACATCTCAGCGCTCACGCAGCTGTGGAGCTCGGGTCAGATCACCAACTTTGAGTACCTCACTCATCTGAACAAGCACGCGGGTCGTTCGTTCAACGACCTCATGCAGTACCCGGTGTTCCCCTTCATCCTGCGAGATTACACCAGCGAGACGCTGGACCTGCAGGACGTGAACATCTACAGGTCGGTGTGGGCCGCCATAAGAAACCGTAAAAGTTTTGCTCCTGAAAAACACGTCTCACGCGTTTGTCTCGCAGGAACTTAATCAAACCCATTGCGGTCCAGTCAAAGGAGAAGGAGGATCGCTACGTTGACAACTACAGGGTATGTTCGGGTTCTTTATCTAACTCCTGAGACAAAGACGATTCATTAAAGGTGGGATCTTTGCGCAGTACCTGGAGGAGGAGTACAAAAAGGGCATTCGTGAGGATGACCCCATGCCTCCTGTCCTGCCGTACCACTACGGCTCCCACTACTCCAACAGCGGCACGGTTCTGCACTTCCTGGTCCGAATGCCTCCCTTCACCAAGATGTTTCTGGCCTACCAGGGTGAGCCGTGTGTTTTACCACGTTGTCCTCTGATCAGCCCCCTGACCTTTCCTCGTGTTTTTGATTATCAGTCCCTCCTCTCTGATCTTCTGAGGCATCTTTTCATGTGGTTGCAAATGTATTCAGCAGGCGTCGTGTTTAACATCATGAAAGGAGATGTTTTCCACCAGAGCCCAGTCTGAAATGTATTTATTTTGTTTTTCATCTAGACCAGAGCTTTGATATCCCAGACCGGACCTTTCACTCCATGAACACCACGTGGCGTCTGTCCTCCTACGAGTCCATGACAGACGTTAAAGAGCTCATCCCGGAGTTTTTCTACCTCCCGGAATTCCTGGTTAACAGAGAGGGTGATTATTCATTCATACACTTCTTCATCCGTGTGATCATAAATGTGCTTTTAAACATTGTTTTGCTTGTTGCAGGTTTTGATTTTGGGGTCCGTCAGAATGGTGAGAGGGTGAATCATGTGAATCTTCCCCCGTGGGCTCGCAACGACCCCCGTCTGTTTATCCTGATCCACCGACAGGCGCTGGAGTCGGACCAGGTGTCCCAGACCTTGTGTCAGTGGATCGACTTGGTGTTTGGGCTCAAGCAGAAGGGCAAAGCGGCCGTCCAGGCCATCAACGTCTTCCATCCGGCTGTGAGCAACAGCTCGCTGTTCCGTTTATCGTGTTCCAACAGCCTTTTGGTTGCCGCTTACACTCACTTCGTTTTCACAGACTTATTTTGGCATGGACGTGTCTGCTGTGGAGGACCCAGTCCAGCGACGAGCCCTGGAGACGATGATCAAAACGTACGGTCAGACACCCAGGCAGCTCTTCAGCGCCTCTCACTCCAGCAGGGCAGCACCTAAACTCACGATGGAGGGGGAGCTGCCCGCAGCCATGGGGCTCCTGGTCCAGCTGGCCTTCAGAGAAACCAGAGAACAAGCTAAGGAGATCATCTGCCCGGTAACAGAAGTGGCTCCCTCAGCCGGCTGTGTGCTGATGTTCTCACTGGCTGCTCACCTTTTCCCGTTTCCTGTCTCACAGAGCCCGCTGTTGTGGATCAAAGGCCTGAAGTGGGGTGAGTACGTGGGCTCCCCCTCTGCTCCGGATCCGGTGGTGTGCTTCAGCCAGCCTCACGGGGAGTGTTTCGGATCCCTGCTGGCTCTGCCGACCCGAGCCATCTGCGGCCTGTCGCGCCACTTCTGCCTCATGATGATTTACAGCAAGGAGCAGGGTAGGACACGGGCTGGACGACCGGCGCGAGATTCCCACCGCCGCTTCCATTAAACCTAATGTCCTCGGCTCCTCAGGTGTGCGCAGCATGCATAGCACTGACATCCAGTGGTCGGCCATCTTGAGCTGGCACTACGCAGACAACATATTAAGGCTGAAGAGCAAGCAGAGCGAACCACCGATCAACTTCATTCAGTGTTCACAGCTCCACCAGGTGAGTAGACACCTGCCTGCTGGAGTTCAGATCAGGAAATAAAAAAATGTCCTCTTCTTTTCTCATACCTGCAAACTTGTTGCTTTTTGGAGAACATCACCCTTTTTGGAAGCCAAAAAGTTCGTTCACATGAATTGTATAGATCCGAATAGTTTTCCCGGGGGGGGGGGTCTTCTGTCGGGTTTCACTCACTCTTTATAAAAACCAGTCAGAGAAAGGAGGCAATTTATCTTGTTCACAAACTATCTTTGCTGTAGTGTGTCAGTCACACGTTAGCCACGTTCACATGCGCCACTTTTCCCCAATCCGATTCAAATCTCGGTTGACCGGAAATCTGGAATCTCTGTTTACATGGACACTAATGGAAATGATCCGATCACGCCGTGATTTCATATGCACCAATTATTCAGTCGGATTAAATAGGTTGACCATGCGCATTTTTCTTTTCCGGAAATAAAATAGTAAACAAAGGTCATGAAACGAAATGAAAAATGTAAAAACATAAATAACAATTCTTCCTGCATTCCTGATTCATAATCTCATGTTTTCATTTTGCTCATAGAAGTTGTGTTTTCTTCAGTAAATAACTGCAGGTTTACGCATTGCTGCGATTTATTATTTACAATAATAAAACAAGGAAGGGTTATCCTCGTCTCTGCCTCTTGATTAGCTGGTCCGCGGGGGAGGGGGTTCATTACCGAGTTCGGTTGTGGCTTATTATAAATAAAATGTGACGATCAGCTGAAACTGTTGAGAAGCGTTGGTTCAAACTAAATAACAGGAGAAGCCTGTGTCCGTCGTGTGCTAATAAACAAACCGCATCTCATCTGCGTTCACGCGTGTTTACACACTCGCCCAGAATATTCAACTGAGGATGTTTTCCTACTCAGCATCAGCCTCCTTCACCTATGTTACCCGCTCTTCTTTACGAGCTCGTCTCCATCCACCTGCTGCAGAAGCAGCTGCTGCGTTCACAGAAATGGGGATCCGTGCTGCAAACCCAAAACGGTTCTGCGTGTTTCCAGTTCAGACTTGAACATGCTTGTCGAAGGATTTGTGCAATAATCAGATTTTTTATTTTTCTTCCACAAAATGCAAATTCTGGATTAGATATTACTGAAACGGGGACGCTTGCCATCATATTCAAAAGCCGGCGCTCGTCTATTTAAGTCCGGTAGTCTAGATGACAGCAGGGAGACTCGCTAGCTGCTGCACACATGCACAGTGGGCGTTGTCTTACTCCAACAATCCGAACGGCTGTGTACATGCACGTCAATCGGAATGATGATCGGACAAAACCACCTCTCAATCGGATTGAAATTTCATTCCGATCGGGCTGTATCGGATCAGAACATTCAGATTGAATGTCAGACATGTAAATGTGAACATGTAAACGTGGCTAGTGTCATTTGACCAATCACAGTGGCAGAGACAGCAAGCCTAAAACCGCTGATGCTGCAGGAGCATAGCCCTTACAGCACGAATATCTACAGTTGCTTCAGCATCTCACAGCGGTTCTGAGCTCAACGTTCTTCAAATCAAACAAAATCACCACTACCGTTATTCTGTCGAGGACTTTAGCAGATTCACGTCCTTTCAGCCTTTATAGATATTTCCCGAGGCCTGTCGTGTTTTTTTGGGAGTTGAGTTTGGAGTTTAACATAAACACTGACAGTGTTTCACCTCTTACTCATGTAAGTCATCCCAAACTGATCCGGGAACCAGGAGATGTAGGGACGCTGGAGAACAAACACGAGATCAGATCTTTTCATAATATTGTAACATTTCTGCAGTTGTCACCCTTTTCACACCTTCCGAGTTTGCAGGTATGTTTTCTGCTTCTATAAAATTACTGAGGGTTCTGGTTTCCTGTGTCTACCCCCCCCCCCCCCCCCCCAACAAAAATAAAACACAAACACACTCCTCCTCCTCCAGGTGACCAGCTGTGCCTGGGTGCCCGATGGCTGCCAGCTATTTACAGGTAGCAAATGTGGAGTCATCACCGCCTACAGCAACCGCTTCACCAGTACCACGGTAGGTTTCCATGGCGACATCCCCGACTAACCTTCCTCCTCCGCACAAACACCAATCCCACCCTTCCCCTACCCTACTGAAATGCTCGGCTTCATTAGTCACATCACAGCTGCCCTCGGAGCACATTTCCACTGAGATGCCCCCCCCCCACACACACACACACACACACACCAGAGTTTATGCTCCTCTCTCTCTAAGAGGTGTATCAGTAGAAAAGTCCTGGTGAATTTTAAGTAGTTGTTGTTTTTTGGGTTGGGGTGCACTAATAAAACATTTGGGAGACATAACCGTCATCTGTTACAGTCGCCGAGAAAAATGTGAAATTACATCATAAATAATCCTAGTTCCTTTCAGTGTACATGCTAGGCTAAACGCCGCTGCCTCTTTTCTGCCCCAGAGCGCCGTCTGCAGCCAGTCGAGGCTCCCAGCAGCACACCCGTCTAAAATAGAAGCTTGCGCACCCCCAGAATTAAATGTCTTCTAATTTTATAAAGTCAAACCAGATAGACAGCAGCGCATCTTTTACTGAACTACAACTTACCAAGAGCACCTACCCGAAACTCTGAAATCACATTTTTTAAGAGTCAGAGTAGGGCCGCTGCTGCTCCAGTGCCAACAGGTGAAGGAAGGTTGATACTAATGTTTCCTATTGTGACATCACAATAAGGAACACTTTCAAACGGCCCACAGATGTTTCTGATTCCTGAAACCAAACACGTGACAGAAAACAGATGAATGTCTTTTATTATTAGTTAGGATTGCTTATGAAGGCAGTAGAGACCCTCATGGCAGCACAAAAGGTGGAATTTCTTCATCACTGTCTCCTTTTATTTATTTATTTATTTAACCTTTATTTATCCAGGTAAACTGTTTGAGAACCCTTCTCATTTCCAAACTTGACCTGGTGAACAGGCTGCATAAATAAGTAAAACAGACAAGGCGTACAAAATAAAGCAAAGCACACACATTTACATTAAAAGAAGTCAATGTAAAAGAGCCTACATGTGTATTTTCAGGATTGTCAGCAGGAACAACAGGCAACTATCGTGTTTTGGATGGTCTACTTGAATTTGGAGATTGGGATCAAGGATGTGAGTTTGAGGGTATTCTTGAATGTACTCCAGTCGTGTGCTGCTGCAAAAGCAAAGGGTGTTGCGTCCAAAGGTGGTAGAGGTTGGGGGAGGGAGTTAAACTTGATAAAGTTACTTGATCTTGTTTGTTAAGTTTTATGTGTAGCATGAAGAGATGAAAGGTAGAAAGGTGTTTTCCCAGGATTGTCTTGTGTATGAAGAGAACCCAATGATGGGGGCGTCGTGTGTGAAGCGAGGGCCAGCCCAACAGTTTATACAATGATGGGTTTAAATTAGCATTAGTGGCAAAACGGATGGCTGAATGATAAAGTGCATCAAGTGTTTAGGGCTGTGTTTGGCGCCATTCTATATAATGTTGCCATAATCCACAATTGCACAAGGATGCATTTAGAGGCATGAGTGAAAGAAGCTTTATTGTTGAATAGACCGGCTAGTCTGGCTTTGACTTTTGCTCAAAGGTTATTGATATGTATGGTGAATGAAGCAGATTAATCCAACCAAATGCCTAGATAATTATAAGTTTGGCATACTCCAGAACCATGCCGTTCATACCACTGATTGTGGGTGGAATTGAGACAACAGATTTTCAGCTGAATAGCACGCACTTGGTCTTAGTGGTGTTCAGACAGAGGCGGAGATTATCAAAAAAACTGTTCTATGGAGGCTAAGCTGAGTTGAAGACTGAAAGCCACAGATTGGGGAGAGGGACCAACTGTGTACAGAATTGTGTCATCTGCATAGTGGTGAGTTTGGGAGGTGTCAGCAGACTCTGCTATATTATTGATATAGATATAGAGATGGGCCCAGATTGGAGCCTTGAGGCACACCTTTAGAGACAATCAGTGGATCTGACATAATGTCCTCCACTAGGGGTTTAAGAAAATATCAATATGGCAATATATTGTGATATTGTTTCCTGTGAAATTATATCAATATTCAAAAGCTGTGTATCTAATTTTTGGAAGAACTTACATGCAGACATTTGTGTATTTTCCGACCGCTAGTTGGCAGCAGGGTGCAATGGATTTTGTTTCCGCCATTAAAATATAAATCCCTCTATGGTTCTGATACCTCATGTTAAACATGTTACCTATCAGTTTGGACTGTTTAATGAATTTTCCTACAATAAATTCAGTCAACAAAAACTGCTAATATCACCTGGCTGAATCTATCGTGATATATCATCTTCCATGTATCGTGATACGTATTGTATCACCAGAGTTCAATTCAGTTCAATTCAATTCAAGTTTATTTATATAGCGCCAAATCACGGCAAGAGTCGTCTCAAGGCACTTCACATAATAAACATTCCAGTACAGGTCAGTTCATTAAGCCAATCAGAAATAATGTTTCCTATATAAGGAACCCAGCAAATTGCATCAAGTCACTGACTAGTGACTAGTGTCAGTGACTTTACAGCAGGGGTGGGGAACCCTTGTCCATCGAGGGCCACTATCCAGCATATTTTAGTTTCAGCTCTGCTTCAACACACCTGATTTCAGTCAGCAGGTGATTAACAGGCTCCTGCAGAGCTTGATGAGCTGCTGCACAGGTAATTCAACCACTGAATCTGAAGTGTTGGCGCAAAGACATGCAGGATACCGGCCCTCGAGGACCAGGGTTCCCCACTGCTGCTTTACAGCAATCCTCATACCAAGCAAGCATTTAGCAACAGTGGAGAGGAAAACTCCCTTTTAACAGGAAGAAACCTCCAGAGAATCCTGGCTCAGTATAAGCATCCATCCTCCACGACTTACTGGGGATCGAGAACACACACACACACACACACACACACACACACACCAAGCAATATGTCCATGGTTACACCATGATTGCTTAGTAAATATTCTATTTGGCGAGAGATAAACTTTATTGTATTTATCCTAGTGAATCTATTGTTAAACGGATAAACTAGTAGTAGCACATCCAACGTCAAAGAGAGTAAAAAGTTATTATCAGGAGAGGGGGAATGTTTAAGTGGTTCGCAGCAGTGTGCTAGACAATGGCCCCCTCCATGAGGCCACCACAGCTCAGCAGAACGTCATTGTAGCTTCTTCTGGGGAGAAAAACACTTAGAGAAAAAATAAAGTTAACAGCTGAAATAGCAGGAAATAATACAGTTAAAGAGCAGATTGCATAGCAGCATAACTACAGAGATAACTCTGGATAACCTAGCCTTTTAGATGGAGGCATGTTGGAGGCAGGGCAAGGGAGAGCCGTCTTTACCGACTGTACACTCCACCTCCCTCTACTCCCCCACTTGTCCAGATTTAGGCTAACATCAGATTTTAACCATAGACCCTATCAAATAACAATGTTTTAAGCCTAGTCTTAAAAGAAAGTTTCACCAATACACATCCCTATCCTCCACCTTTAATTGCTGGAGAGGGTTGGTAAGATAACTGGCAAACCAGTTACATTTGGAGGTGGACAGATCATTAGAGCTCTGGACGTCACATGACTCTCAGAGAGTAGACGCCATGTTGGCAGGCAACAAATGTAAACAAAATGAACGGGATCGGCTTGGATTTTACTCCGTCGGAGTTTACTTCACACTTTAAAACCGAAGAAATCATTTTATAGAGTCAGAAATTAAATAGACTAAACATCTCCGACCCTTACCGTGCCCCTGGGATACTTTTTTAAAACGCCAGAAGCTGTCGGAGCGGACTTCTTACTGGACCTGGCCGGGGAACCCCTTGGGATTTACCCGGAGGAGCTGGCTCAGGTGGCTGGGGAGAGGGAAGTCTGGACCTCTCGACTTAGGCTACTGCCCCCACGACCCGACTCCGGGTAAACAGATGAAAATGGATCGATGGATGGACAAATAACATAGATTTACACGTAAGAAGTTTAAACAGAGTGCTGTGCTGTTTGAATGTATAAACTGAACACCAAGAGAAATCGCTAGTCTGATTGTTTTCCGTGAATAAAATAAAAATGTCAGGCAGGAGCATCTCAGGATCTGTCTGAGATCTGTCTCGGTGAGACAGATAATAGCAATCCAAAGTGCTTTTTATGTGTGATCTGACAATTGATCAACCATTGCTTAAAAATGAAATACAGCTTAGCAGTTAATTGCTGTGATCCTAAAACACGTAAACGGCAGCACGCAGAAATCACGAGGCAACGTTTTACGTGATGTTTACTTGTTGCTATGAGTAATAAGACAGAAAAAGCCACGCCAAAATAAGTTTAGGAAGCCCACTAAGAATCGTAATAAAAGCATTTAAAATAAATACCATACACAGTTGAGGAAACGTTGGTTTAAGTACCTGATATGAAGCGGTCGCTGCATAAGCGAAATCCTTTACTCTCGGGATCCCACAGTTTCATTTTAGCCCGGTCACTAGTGCGTTTTATTACAATGATCCAACGTTTGCGGCGCTCCGGATCTTGGGGAATCCTGTAGACGGCTCATTCCTTATGTCGTCCATGTCTGTTCTGCATCCTGGGCACAACAGGAATCTACCATATGTCCCGTTTGATTTGAGTTTTCTGACAATAACAAATAGTCCAGCTGCCGGCTTCTACCTGCCAATATGGCGCCGTTTCGATTTGAACTGTTGCATGCCGGGAGAAGTGGCGTCAACTCCCGGAGCTCTATATTGGACACTCTTTGTAAATGGATGCTGTGAACAACAGAGTCACAGAAAGATCTATGAAGATGGCAATACAGACCTGCTTACTATCTAATGCTGTAATTATGTCATCTAGTACCTTTGTGGTGGCTTTTATAGAAGAAGAAGAAGAAAATATCATTTCTATAGGGCTTCAAGATAAAAATCACGAGGCACTTCACAAAAACAAAAAAGTAAAAATATAAAAAAGCATTTAGAAAATGTTTAAAAATATATTTAAAATTAGCAAAAATAGTAGCCTGGCAAGCCAGACTAAATAAATGTATTA